CGAGAGCACGACAAGCTATCGATGGGTTTTGCAGAGGTTGAGAGACGTGATTGGGTATAATAAGGAGCCGTCGGTTTTCTTGACAGACCGTGAGCTTGGGCTATGTGCTGCATTGAGGGAAGTGTTTCCAGGAACCTCGCACTTACTTTGTCGATGGCACATTAACAAAGATGTGGAGGCTCGGGTCACTGCTATGTTCAAAAGCAAGAAAATCGGTGCGTCTTTCAAAAACGGAAAATGGAAACGTATCATGGACGCTGCAACCGAGGAAGATTATGAGGCCGCTGTAGAAAACATGAAGGATAAGTGGGCAAGTTTTCCAGCAGTGATACAATATGTAGAGAACACATGGCTTTGTCATAAAACGAAGTTCGTGACATTTTGGACAAACCAAGTTCTACATTATGGCAACACCAGCACTTGCAGAGTTGAGAGCCAACATTCGGTCGTGAAGATGTGGTTTGATTCCTCGACAGGATTGGTGTTTGCTTATTGTACTTCATGTATGTACTTTTATTTAAGAATTTCAGTTACAAATCATAACTGTTTTTCTTTGTAATGTGCAGGTTCTTTGGATCAAGTGCACGAACGATGTGGATGTGCAATGCGTGTGACCCACGGGTTGCCCTGTGCATGCCAGATACATGATTCGCTAGCTGCTGGGACAGGATTGTACATAAGGCAAATTCACCCGTTTTGGAGGACCTTGGTTATTGGTTCTGGAGAGCACGGGACGGTGCATGACAATGACTCGACTGAGGATGCCGCACATTTTCGTTCTCTGATGGAGGAGGTGTTTGATAGTGATCCTGTTGTTCTTCGAAACGTGTCTCGCATCATTGAAGAGGAGCTGCATCCGGATCATTCCGATCTCAGAGAGCCTGCTGTAAACCACCGGGTTCGTGGTCGACCAAGACACAATGATACAAGACGTGATCGTTCTTATTTTGAACATGTCAACCGCCAACACACTGTACGCGGCGCACGACAAACATGTACGATTGAGTGTTGTGTTTTTCACATAGATCAGCGTTCACTAAACTATTAACTGAAACCTACGTTTGTGCAGGAGATGTAAACGACATTAGCCAAAGCCGTTATCGACACATGCTTCCAGGGCCGATGTTGCCTTACATCACAGGATGGAAGGATGTCATTGGCGATGGGAACTGTGGGTTTCGTTGTGTGGCCGAGTTCTTCTTCGGTGATCAAGGCCGATGGTATGACGCTCGAGAGACAATAGCGAATGAGGTCCTCGGTTATCGAGCCCTATATGAGAGGATTTATGGGCTTGGAAGACTTGAGATCAATGTGCAGCGTATTCGATGGGACGGTGGGGCGGTTGATTCCCGTCATTGGATGGTTGCAATACTCAGGCCCACCTGGCATCGACTCCCGCACCACCCATGACACTGACGAGCTGGTAGAAGCTTGACCTGGTTCACTACTGCTAACATATCTCCCATGGTCACCCCTATACACAGTACGGTAATCCTGAGGGTCGTACTGTGCATCTCCAGCAGATTGACTTCCTCCATCTTCATCCTCCTCCCGATCTGATGAAGGCACTCCAGTAGACGAATACATGGGGGCGCTCCCCTGTGACTGGTGCTCCCCCGACCAAGCACCAGCAGTCCCATACTGCTGCTCATGCTGAAACGGTGCATGTGAAGGTCCTGCACCACCTAACTCCCTCCTAACAGACGCATTCAAACGTCTTGATCTTGCATGACGAGGACCAGAACCCTCAATCTGCATTAAAAAAATAAGTACAGAATCATATTTCAATAATAATTCATAGTCAAAAAAATCAAATCAAAACTATAATAAATCAAATCAAATAAACAATAATAACAGCATTACAAATAATAACAATAATATTATTCTTACAATACTATTACACTACTAACAATAACAACACACTAACACACTACAAATAATTTCAACACAATAACAGACCAAATCAAAACTATAATTAACCACAAAACTGCCAAAATTTAAACGCAACAACGACAACCCAATAAAAAAAACAATTACAATAACAATAACAACAATTTAAGTAAACAACCATAATACATAACAACAACAGCAGCAAAAACCAATACAAACCAAACCAAATTTACATAACAATAACAATACATAGCAACAACAAACTTATTAAAATAAAATCAAGAATTATTGCTAAACTATAATTATTGTAAAACTAAATCAACAAAAATTACATATAAATAACTATTGCAAAACTAAATCAAGAAAAAAATTATTTTAATGCCACAAATGAAGGACACAAATTACTTCAAAAAAAAAAACAAAAAAAAAATGAAGGACAGAAATATTTTCAAATTAAAACATGCACCAAATCAACAAAATCGAGGACAAAAAAAAAATTAGAAAAACATAAATTAAAAAACAAAGGAAAAACAGAAAAAAAGGGGGGGGGAATAGAAAAACACAAAAACCAGAAAAAAAAAACGGAAAAACAGAAAAAAAAAAAAAAACAAAAGGGGAATAACAGAAAAATAAAAAAAATAAAAAAATTCTGGATACTGGACTTCCGGAAGTTCTGGGCGGAAGTCCAGTTTCCAGAATTTTTTTTTTTCAAAATTCAAAAATTTAAAACAAAAACAAAAAACTCACCGGCTCGCCGCCGCTAACGCCGCCACCACGACCACCAAACGTCAGCCTAATTCTCCGTCGGTCTGCCATTGTCGGATTCAACGTTTGATTGCAAGATTTGCTTGTGTGTGAGTAGCCTTCAACTATTTTGCTTTTTTTTTTAAAAAAAAAAATTTCTGATGTTTTTTTTTCCAAAATTTCAGATTTTTTGTTTTTTTTAGAGAGAGAAAGTGTCAAAGAGTGTTTTGTGAGATGGGAAATGTCTCGTAAAGCCCTAACTTACTTTATCGAGTATTTATATACGGAGGGCAATTTAGGAAATTCATGTAAAAAATGTCAACGTCACCTAGTAAAATGTCAACGACGTTTAACAACCCCCTTAATTTTTCACCAAATAATGGATTTGACCTAAGTTATTTATTTATTTTTTTTTCAAGTGGGGGGACAGTTGTCCCCTCTTGTCCCACCCTAGCTCCGCCACTGTCGAAAATACTAAACAATTAGAATACTAAAATTAAAAATCTCCTCAACCAAACTTCATACATAAAAACTCCAGCAAAAGAAAAACCCCAACAAAAATCTAGAATATTACGTAAAATAACATACAGTATGAATTTTACAAAAAATTTAATTGATGATTTAAAGAACATAAAGTATAGAAAAAGAAATTAAGGGGAAAAGAAGAAAAAACATTTAAAATCACCATGAGCTTGAGCGAATTGTTGCAAATCTCTCCCTGATTTTCACTCTCCTTCGGGAACAATCACTGAAAAAAAAAAATTAATAGGCAACAAGGTTTGGAAGGAACTATGGAAGAGGTGAAGTTTGGATGGGTTTTTGGTTGAATTAATGTGTAATTCATGAGTAGGTAGAAGAGAGAGAAGGAGAAATAATGTATATTTGGGTTGAGTCATGTAGATTTGAGTAATTGGGTGTTCTAATACATGAGTTTTGGTTGATTTTATGCATGTTTTCATGCATGGTAGAAGAAAGTATCTAAGGGCTATGGTTGCCTTGCCATGAAAGGATGGAGAGAGAAAGTAAGGAAGGAGGAGGAGAATAAAAAAAATGCCTTTAGGGCATGCTTGGATTGGGGGTAATATATTAAGAGGGTAATAAAAGTCAAACTTTAAAAAATATAAGTAATTAGAGGTGTTGTTATAGGAGGTAAGGTGTTTACAAATGTAATAAGGTAGGTGTTCCATGAGGAAAAGAAAGAGATGGAGGAATTATTACCCTCATAATGAGAGTAATAGTTACACACCCTCCCCCTAGTGTATCTATTACCCTCAAAATGAGTCTCTTTCTCCACCTCATACCTCACCATCACTACATAATTTTTCCGAGAAGCACTCCGTCACCATCTCCTCCTTCCCTATTTACTTTCATTTTGCTTAGTTTGACTTTTATTACCCTAGTAATACATTTCCCTCAATCCAAGCATGCCCTTAATTTTTTTTTCTCTTCTAACTGGTTCGAGACACATCTCTAATTACTTCCTTTTTATTTTATTTTTATAAAAATCCATTTAACCGGTTGGTAACTATCGAAAAAGTTACCTCCAGTGACCATTTCAGTCCCCTATTTGCTTCAGTCCAAACATGAGTAAATTAGTTGCAACTAATCCATACTTCAGTACCTTGTATTTATAATTACTCATTTTCCACTCCATTTTCTCTCTCCTAACTACCAAAACCTTCCACATTTCTCTTGAAAAAAAAATCAAAATCCTCCTATATCTCAACTAAAACATTAGATATAAAGGATGAAATCACAAATTAAAGGAATTTTCTTCAAATGAAAGTTCAAAAATCAAATTGTAAGTTATTTTTGTATATTTTTGAAAGAAAAAAAAGTATAAACCCTAACTTTTTGCCTTGTTCTTGAGATATTTGTTTCTAGATATACTAAACTTTGGTAGTAGTTCTTGATTTAGTATATAATAATTTTCTTATCATATAAATGTGAATTCCTATAGTTATAGTAGAGTAATGTTTGGTATACTTTTTGAATTAATTTGTAGTGTGTTATTAGATTACAAAATTGTTGGACATACAAAACTTGAAAACAAAGTTTAATTGTCCTAATTTTCTGGATAATTTGACATATTTCATAGTATTATAGACATGTAAATTTCTTTCATATTACAAATTCTTTTTGATGAATGTTCATTTTCAATTTGATTAATGTTCATTTTCATTTTGATAAATGTTCATGTTAGATTTCGGGGAAACTCCTCAAATTGGAGTGTGTACCATTGATCAATATATATAGTGTTACAAGACTACACCTAATCGCGTTAGGAGATCTAGTTTGATAAGGATACAAAATATATACAAATATATCCGATAACTACGAAAAATGTTATCTAAATATAATATCTATCACACCTTCGCAGTCATAGCGGGAGGAGGTCGTATGCTAGGACTGGATCTGAACTCTAAAAACAAGTCTCGTGGAAGGCCTTTGGTAAAGATGTCTGCAAATTGATATCTAGAAGGAACATGAAGAACCCGAACCTCACCCAAAGCAACCTTTTCTCGAACAAAATGAATATCCATCCCACATGTTTGGTGCGTTGGTGTTGAACCGGGTTGCTAGAAAGGTAGATAGTGTTGACATTATCACTATAAACAATAGTAGCCTGACGGAGAGGACAATGTAGCTCCAATAAAAGATTACGAAGCCAATAAGCCTCAGAGATAACATTTGTGACGCCTCGATATTTTGCTTCTGCACTCGATATAAAGTAGGTTGACGCTTAGATGACCCAAAAACGAGGTTGTCCCCGAGAAAGCAATAATAACCAAATGTGGAACGACGGGTGTCGGGACAACCTCCCCAGTTAGCGTTAGTATAATTAATGAAACGAGTAGAAGCAGACGAATATAAGTAAAAACCACGATCAATAGTACCATGAACATAACATAGTATGCGTTTTAACACATCATAATGCGATTCCCTGGGATCATGCTTGAAAAGACATACTACTTGCAGTACCGCATAGGCAATATCTGGCTTAGTGAAAGTGAGATATTGAAGAGCGCCTGCTAAACTGCGGTATAGAGTAGGATCCCGGAATGGTGGTCCCGAATCTACACTAAGTTTGGAGTTAGTATCGACAGGAGTTGTTGCGGGTTTGCAAGAAGCCATACTTGCACATTCTAAGATCTCTTGTGCATATTTTTGCTGAGACAAAAATAAATATGACAGTGTAAGAGTCATCGCAATGCTAAAAAAATAGCTCAAAGGCCCCACATCTGACATAGGAAACTCAATTTGTAACTGAGAAGTAATTCCTGTTCGCAACCTGTCATTAGATGTGGCTAATATAATATCATCAACATAAAGAAGCAAATAAGCCATATTATCACCCAGTCGGAAAGTAAACAATGAATTATCACTCTTAGCAATGATATATATTATATTCAGATGATATTTGTCGTAGTTATCGGATATATTTGTATATATTTTGTACCCTTATCAAACTAAATCTCCTAACGTGACTAGGTCTAGTCTTGTAAGTTCTAACATTATATATAGTAATCAATATATTGATCGAACTGGCTGTTTTTTTTTTTTTTCAAGGAAAACTGGATTTAACTGATTAGCACTCCATAAATATCCCTCATTTTTCATCTCAATAAAAGTTGAGATTTTGCTCCAAAAAAATCCCTAATTTAATAAAGACTATATTTAGATCTTGGATTGAGATAGATGGGTGCCTCCGACCCACCTCCAGAGCATCATTCAGGTAACTCAAAATAAAATTTGTTTGCCAATTCTCATGTCTCGATATATATTTAATTTGTCCTATTGAATGTGTTTTTGTATTCATTTGTGTGCAATCGTGTTAATCCTTAAATAATCATGAATAATAATTTTAAAGAAGGAATATATTAGCGGTTCCATTCAGAACTTTTCATTTGAAGAGAGCAAATTTAACCTTAACAATTAATCGATTCATATCAGAAAAGAAAAAACCATACTCAATTGGAATCTTCGTCTCTATAAATTAACAGTTCAAATGTTTATGATACTAACATAGTTGAAGATAAATGTCGCTGGGAATTGACAATTGGTTACACAAAATTTATGTGTTTATCTTTTCTTATGGATACTTCATTAGTATCTAATGGATATAAGGTACTATATATGTATGCTTATTTATTGTCTATGATAATATTTTATTTTATTTTTGGTGTTCCACCCGGTTCACCTTTTGTGTTAATTCGAATTCGAGATTAGTTCTAGGTGGTTAGGTTTCAGTCCTCCCCCAATTGTTAATGTGGGGGATCGAATACAAGTTTTCTATACCAAGTGCAGTCTCAATCACCACTGTACCAACAACCAATTAGTATTGTCTATGTAATTATAATAGTGATTCTATTTGTAATTTTTAGGTGTCTTGGAATGTTGGGGTGGAATGATGCTCAACAAGCTCCAAAATGGGAATGAAGGTACAACCCTCATAAAAGAAGATAGGATTAGCCATTTACCCGATCATATATTAGGTGACATACTTGCATTCCTTCCCCTAAAGGTCGCCGTTACTACGAGTGTATTGTCCAGGCGATGGAGGCGTGTTTTTACTTGGCTAACATACCTTAACTTGGATGATACACCTAATTGTTACAATTATTGTTTGATGCGTAGTCCACATACGATTGATTCTTTCCCTAATTTCAAGATGTATGTTGATAAGGTATTGCAACTATGTTCACTCTAACAATATGGATATATCCTCGATGTTTCGAAGGTTGTCTCCCCGTATTGGACCCTATGCATCTTGATGCTTGGATCAGTTTTCCCTTAGCCGGTGGGGTTAAGGTGCTCGACATTATAGCTCGTGTTAGGAAACCTAGTAAGATACCCTCAGCCCAGTATCGTTGTGCAACACTAGAGGTGTTGAAACTCGATGTTAATGTTAATAACCTTGATTTCAACATCCCCTATTCTATTTGTATTCGTTTACCAAACTTGAAGGTAGTCCATCTTACTTTTCTCAAGCACACCCCTAATGACTCCATGGCTAGGCTAGTTGCTAGTTGTCCATCCCTCCAAGACTTGGTACTCAATGCTGATTTCTGGATACATATAAATTACATTACTTCACAATCTCTTCGTAGATTAGTTATCGATTTTCCAGGTAATACGTGGTTTGATGATATGCCTAAAATGCCCCCAAGGAGCGAGTTTGAGCTTGATATTCCTAATCTGGAGCATCTAAAGTATGTGGAATCTACGGTGTTCGTCTACTCCATCACCAAAATGAACAATCTAGTCGATGCTCAAGTTGATGTTGTAGACCTTCATCTTGATGGTACTAAATTCAGTATTTTCAGCGGCTTGTCTAATGTCCGAAGTTTGTATCTCATGTCAAGGACTACAAATACAATGGTTAGTTTTGTCTCCGATCCATCCTCTAACAAGTTAAAATTACCTTAATTATTACTACCTCCGTTAATTTCTATCTGTAACTTTAGGGTATTATCTGTGAGATATTTCGTATAAAATATTCCAAAGTTGCAGATACAAATTAACAAAGGTACTACTAGTATTTTATTTAATCAATGACGGTATTATATTGCTCTTTTATTTGTTGTAGACATTGATAGCTTGTGATACAATAATAAAGCATAAGTTGCCTTTGTTTGGTAACCTCAAGCATTTGCAGCTTGGTTGTGAGGGTTATTATAATTAGAATAACGTATTGATAGAGCTCCTACACCGTGCACCTTTTCTAGAAACACTTACTTTTAAGGAGGTTAGTGCCTTTTACTTTGTGAACTGCTAAACATCGCTAGCAAATCTCAACATAAAGCCCACAAATTTGAAGTGAAATGACTTTTTGCCCACAAATTAAAAAACACAATCTCATCTTCTCTCTACTCTGTACTCTCATTTTCTCTCTCTAATTTTTTTTTTAAATGTCGAGGCGGCAAGGTAAAAAACTGGCGGCACCGGTGGTAGGGGGAAGGCGGTTTCGCGATGAAAAGGTATTTTTAAATTAAAAAAAAAACAGGAGTTGGCGGCGGAGCCACGGTGGCGGCGCCTTGGCTACGGCGGTGGCGTCTTACGTGGACGCCGCCACCGTGGCCTAGGCGTCCTGCCCAGGCGCCGCCACCGTGGCTTCGCCGCCAACTCCCGGTTTTTTTTTATTTTTTTCATTTATTTTTTATTATTTTTTTCGGGGTTTTTTTTATTATTTTTTTTCATTTTTTTTGGATTTTTTTTTTATTTTTTAGGTTATTATTTTTTTGTTTTGTTTTTTTAATTTTTTTTATTTTTTTTTGTTTTTTCTTTATCTTTTTAATTTTTTTGTTTGTTGTTTATATTTTTTGTTTTTTGTTTTTGTTTATACTTTTTTTTTTGGTTTATGTTTATATTGTTTTGTTTATGTTTATATTTTTTTTTCAAATTTGTTATTTTTTTTTATGTTTATATTTTTTTTCCATTAATTGTATATTGTTTTATTTATTTTTATTTACTTTTTTTATGTTCATATTGTATGTTTTGGTATTTTTTTTTGTTTTTGTGTGTATTTTCTAATTTGTTTAATTTTTTTTCCGATGTTGTGTACTTTTCTTTTCAATGTCAATTTGTTAGTATTTTTTTTGTTTATTTGATATTTTTTTTGGTTAGGTATTTCTATTTTTTGTTGTTGATACTTTTAAAAATAGATTATTAATATAAATAATAATAATAAAACAATTGCTATTATTTTTCGTTATTTAAATGGAGTTAGGCATCGCATTTTCGACCTGGTGCGGGGAAGAGTATGGACGTTATGAGAAGTACGATCTACTCAATGGAGAGCTCGGGACCCAGACACGTTAGATCCCGTGGTATTTCGGCCTCGACTCGCAGAGAACAGGTGCACTATTCTGAGGATGATGAAGATGATGATGGTGATGAGGAGGATGAGGAGGAGGGGGAGGAGAAGGAGGAGGATGCAGATGAGGATATGGACGATCAGAGTGGACCATATGATGATTATGGTCCATTCAGTCAGAGGCTTGATGATATGTATGAGACGCATAGGGTAGATGTGTGTAAGGGTAGAGATGGTAGATTTGTTAGTAGATGTGGCACATCATCTACGTCCACTGTGTCTGTGGTTAGCAGAAAATAATCGAGGGCCGTTAATGATTCTTGGGTGGTGAGGGGTGAGGTGGCTGGGGGACCTGTAGACGGGAGTGTGATTCCTAGTTTTCTAGGACACATCACTACCCGTATCTGGGAGGACCAGGAGAAGGCTTTGGATACGGGCATATTGAAATGCCAAACCCGGGAAAAGACTTGTAACATTTTGCGTAGTTGGGCTGATGGTTGGCCGGAGGAGAGCGAGATGCTCGGCCGATTGAGGGGCACTAGAGTGAGTCACCTTCCTGCCACCATGCACGAAAGGATTGACTCAACGCTGATCACGACTTTCGTTGAGCGATGGCAACCGGATACGAACTCTTTCCACCTTCCGTTCGGTGAGATGACGATCATGTTGCATGACGTCGAGGCCATCCTTGGGATTCCCGTAGAGGAAAACCGACTTTCTGTTGTCACTGATGCGGATCAGACAGATTTACTAGCAGAGCTGTTGGCGGTGGATAGGGTTGTGTTGTACACACCGGCACTTGGTGTTTGGGATCACGTCGGCGTTAAGATCGCAGCCGTTTTGCAGCGATGTTTGCACCTCATTGCACGTAGGACGCAGGACACACAGCTGGCTGCATATGTTTTTCTTCTCCTCGGTTGTACCTTGTTTCCGAATAAGAGCGGAAACAAGCTCAGGCTAGGCCACGCGACATAGTTTACGCGTGTGAGCCCGACAGAGAAGGCCAGTTTTCTTGGGGGTCGGCTACGTTGGCGTATATGTATCGCCAGTTAGGATTCTCGAGCCGGGCTGATGCGGCAGGTATCATTGGATGTCTGACATTGTTACAGACCTGGATATACGAGTATTTTCCTGCGTTTCGACTACACCGCGACTTAGTTCCTATTGGGGATTGGCAGCCACGTGCCTATGCGTGGAGTCCGCAGTTCGAGAAGAAGTCCATTGACCGCCTGAGATCGATACGGTTATTGCTTGACAGGATGTCCCCATTAGAGGTAAAGTGTTTAAATTATTTCTACTTTTATAGTTTGATGCGTTTATTATATGAATCTTACTAATTTTAAAAAATGTGCAGGTGAACTGGATGCCTTTCGGCCAGGATCCTAGTAATAAGGTACCTAGGGCCCTCTACACGGGACTGATTCAGTATCGTGAGATTGTAGAGGCGTACATGCCGCAGCGCTGTCTTCGCCAGCTTGGATTTGTCCAACTTATTCCTCCTCCACCAGCATGGTCTAGTAAGGCGGTATGATCTGTGTCGTCGAAGGAGTACGTCGTCCAATGGCCGGGAAGCATAATTGCCACGTGGGAGCAGTTTCCGATGGTTGCCCGTCTATGGACGGCGGAGCTGCAGCGGCCGCCAACTGGGGTGACTGTCATGTGTGACCAGCACTACATGGAATGGTACAACCGGTATTCGCACACGAGGTTGATCAGAGACCTCCACCACGGCGACGATGCCGATGATGATGATGTGCCACCGCCCACTGCCGTGGATGCGGTATGTCTCATAAAACATTTGTTGTTGTGTTTTTTTTTATATAATATGTCGTTATTGAATTTCATGTGTTTTGTTGTGTGTAGTGAATGAGAAAGATGATGCAGCTGGGACACAGACTTTTTGAGGAGAGGGACAAGATGACGACTGCATCAGGCAGAGCTGTTATTGATGATCTGGAACGGGCCCTGGAGCAGTGGCAGTGGGCGTCACAGAGGGATTACTGATTTGTGGGTAGTTTATTTATAGAACATTTTGTACATTATCATAGTTGTTTGTAAAATTTGACATTATCTTTTTAGTTCGTAACATTTGAAATTATTATTTTAAATTTTTAAAATTTGACATTATCTTTTTAGTTTGTAACGCGCAAGATCTAATTAGTGTGCATGCAAGATATAAATTTAGTCAAAATTAGAATACGAAAAATAAATAAATGGAATAAAAATAGCAATAAAAATACAAGGTTACATAGAAAAGGTAGGTATATGCGTGAAAAACTAAAAGGCAGCTAGGTTGTTCCACTGCTACATCCGGGCATGATACAGCGCATCCCAACTCTACGCTTGTCCTACGAATGGTGTACCACCGAGGTATGATCGGTGGGACCGGAAAATCGAATAACAGGTCCAATCAAATGAAATGTCTTTATGACGACCCCAGAAATGTAATAGCAAACTCTCTTACCAGTCTGGTGACGGTCTCACGCGAACACTAGGGAGTATCGTGGTACATGGATAATAAGCTCGACTATGCAATCCAAGTCCGAAATGCATGATTGCACACTTGTAGATGTTTGCAACAGCAAAGAGATCAAGTGGCGCGTCGAACCAATGATTTTAACCGCAAGGTCCTCCTCTCCACCGGATACGCTGCAGAGACCTATCCAACTCTTGGTCGTACGCATGGCGATAAACATCTCGGTTTGAGGCGATTTCACTGTACATCAACTGACGCACTAAACCGTAGTTGTTTTCACCCATCTGAAACACATCAGCCACAACCCGGAATCCGCAGTTACCATCTACAACCACATCATTCCACCCGTCCAAGTATGGCATGATGATGTTAGGGATCCTATCCTTATTTGGAAACTGTTCAATGTCCATTCTTCTTGTTACATATATCAATAAACACAATTAACAAGTCAGCAGTAAACTAAACAAATATTCTAAAAGGTAAATTAAAGTAATTACTGTACCGGGAAGAAGATTGGCTACCACTTGATGACGATGTACGACCATGGCCACGACCACGAATGTACTCAAACGCACTCCTGTTTCGCCGTGCTTGTCGACCTCTAGGTCGCTCGACCCCTTCAGGTTCCTCGTGATCCAAGCATGACGTGTTGAACATGTCATGAAGTATGTGGGTAGCATCACAAATGATTGAAGGGTGACTGGAGGACACTTGGTCAAACATCGAACAAAACTGCTCCAACTCCTCATGTTCACGGTGGACCATCTGTGGAACAACATGCTCTCCAATAACGAGCGTCCGCCAAAATGGATGAACCTGATCAATATGTAACAACGCCCTATCTTGCGTAATTACGCGGTGAATGGTGCATGCACAAGGTAGTCCATGAGTCATTGATATAGCACATCCGCACCGAATAGCCACTTCATCACCCAACTCCCTCATCCTGTTGTGCTCGCTCAGAATCAACCCCAAGCAGTAGTGTGACACACGACCATGGAGAATCTTAAATATGAAATGGCTATACATCATGCCATGGTTTAGAGTCCTCGAGTGAGTTCTTGATGCCGTTCTTTTGAGTGTCAATTGCCTTGTTTATTCTCTCGAACAGTGTATCCAGAGCAGAGGTGGAAGAATCAATCCAATCCTTCAAAGCTCTATGAGCGCTCTCAACTCTACATGTTGTAGTGTTTCCAAAATGAAGAACTTGGTTTGTCCAATATTTGACAAACTTTTCCCTCTGAGGTATCCACTGCTGCATGACATAGTTTTACCATTGTCGGGCACCATTGGTACGCATCTTTGAACTTCTCCAAGGCTCGATCGTACTCTGCCTCTGTGGTAGCTTGCAGGATCTTCCGCCACTTACCATTTACCAATCTCTCTGCAGAATCTAAATTCTTATTGAAAAAGTTGTACGCTTTGACTTTCACACAGTTGTTGATGTGCCAAGTGCACAGTAAATGGCTTGACTCCAGAAACAGCTCTGCTATAGGGGCAAAGAGACCTCCCTCACAATCACTGACGATGGTTGATGGCTGAACATTTAAGTCGATGTAATTTCTCAACTTCTCCAACACCCAATAGTAACTCGCAGCCGTCTCATCCTTGATGACTGCATAACCAATCAGAAAGTTCTGGTTCGTTGGAGCCATCCCAACCATCTCAACCAGTGGGAACTTGTACTTGTTTGTCTTGTACGTTTAATCGATCAAAATCACAGATGGCCAAGACGTGATCATATCAGCACAATCAGGATGCACAAGGAATAAATGAGTCACCTCCAATGTGTCTTCATAAGATTTAAACCAGAACAGGTAACCACGTGCTTGTGCCTGGTGTAGAAGCTGCTGTATAGGGTTCCTTCCCTCTAACCGTTCAAACCTCAATTTATGTCTGACGTGTCTTCGATTTGGCTGGTCTTCAGGAAATTTCTCTAACACAGATGCTAATATTTTAGCAGGCTTCACTTGAGCATCAATCATTTCTTTTACAACTAGTTTCGCAGCAGGACTTAGGTCGCTTAACTGTCGATGACCCACTTCATATACTATCATCTCATGGTTGTGATACCCCCATTACCGTAACCCTTCACTACCCAACCGTCACGCCTTTGCTGTTGTCGAACCTTTACTCTGAATTAACACCCACAACCTTTCCGCTTTGTATCAAACCGAATCGCTTGACTGAAATCTCGTCCCTCCCTTTTGCGATAACGGTCGCATCTCAAAATGCGATCCATTCTACCATCCCGTTGAGATTTATGACTTGCTACTACTAAACAAAAACCTGATCTAATTGCAACCTGTTTTGCCCAATCAATCGCTTGTTGAGCATCTTCGAACAGACCATCATGTACAAAAATCCCACTATAATCATTTCCGTCTCCACCATAATCCTGCAACAATGACATATTATTTTTAAATACATATAATTATATAAAGATTAAATTAATACATTTAACACAAAATTAACACATAAGTAATTTCTAAATTTTTTATTTGTAAATTTCATTTATATTTAACGCATAATACATTTAATTTCTAAATTTATACATAATTAACACAAAATTAACACATAATAATGTATAAAAGTATTCATACATATACAAAATTAAAACATAATTTTTTTTTGAAGTTATTAACACATATTTAATTTACACATACAAAATTAAAACATAATTTTATTACCACATATTTAAAACATAATTTCAAATTAAAACATAATTTTGTTCTTTTTTTTAAATTATTAACACATATTTAAAACATAAATTTACACATACAAATTAAAACATAATTTTTTTTTTGAAATTATTAAGACATATTTAATTTCAAATTTATCAAAGTTAAAAAACCAAAAAAAAAAAACTTTAAATAAAATTAAAAAAAATTACGAATTGTGGCGGTGGCGTTCGCCCGGGACGCCGCCACCGTGGCTGTGGCGTTCCAGCCAGGCGCCATCGCCACGGCGGCATCGGTCAGGCCAAACGCCGGCCAACATTTCGTAATTTTTTACCTCAACGTACCTCGTTTTTCGGCGACGATGACGGCTCTCCGGTGTCCCTCGACGATCCAGTCCTGCTCCACATTTTTCGTGAAAGAGAATTTCGTTTTGGGTAAAAATTTAAAAAAGGGCAAAAACGTCAAAGTAAAAATAATTGTGGACTTTATGTAAAAATTTGTGGGCGATGTTTAGCAGTTGAGTAAGGGTTCAACTCAAAAGAATCACAATATACGACTACTTGTGTACTCAATGGGAAATGGAAGTGGTTAAATATTTTTTGAGAAACTCATTTGTTTTGGAGGAACTCATTCTTATTTGTTTTAGTCATCCATCCCATCCAGTGACAATAGAAGCTAAGATGTTACTTGACAACACGTTGAAGCTCATGAGAAGAGGGTCAAGGACTTGTTCAATAATAGTTAAGTGAATTTTTATATATATATTTTTTAATAAGTGAATTATTCTTCCAGTTTTCTTGAAATACCTTTTACATTTGATGATTTTTTTTTATAGAATATTATACTATATAACCTTGTATTTTTTTTTTACCCTAACTTTTACAAGAGCGTTTGAGGTAACCTTAAACTTGTAAAAAATCATCAAATTGAATGGAAAACATAACAATGTTAAGTAAATTCATTATTTTTAAACTAAAATGGTAAAAATGAAAAAGATAATAAGTAACTCCTTTTAAATCTTCATAACTCTATTCATTTTGTTAATACAAATTTGGCTCCTTTGTTTTACAAAAAAAAAAAAAAAAAAAAAAAAAAAAAAAAAAAAAAAACATATTTTACGTACATGTTTTTTGATTTGATGTTTAATTTGATTTTAGTGGATGATGTGGGATTTTAAATGTTAAGTATTAAGTTTCAAGGTCTTGAAATTGAGGATGTAGAGTAGAAGAAGAAGAAGAAGAAAAAAACAGAAAAAATATATAGATGGGAAAGGAGAAGGAGAGATATATATATTGCTTAGAGCCACCATTAATGAGAAAAAGAGAGTGAGTTTAACTAATGAGATTGAATTGAAGAGAAAAAAAAAAAGTGAAACTATTAACATTGTTAGCTTTTCCATCCAATTTAATGATGTTTGCAAGTTTAAGGTTATCTCAATTGCTAGTAAAGTTTAAGGTTATATAAAAAAATCACATAAAACATAAAGTTACATGGTATAATTTCTATTTTTTACATGGTAGACCAATGGGCTACCCAAGAATGCCTCGTTAAGACAGATTGGGCTAAGGCACCATTCACGGCTTACTACAGGAACTTCAACGTCAACCCTAATCACGTGGCTGCAACCGTGGCCTTCACTGATGCAAAGTTGCAAAACCAAGAGTTGAACGCTTGGAGCAGGAGGAGACTAAGATGGGTTCAAAAGTACTTCATGATCTACAATTATTGTACCGATGCACAAAGGTTTCCAAAGGGTGTTCCTAGAGAATGTAGGATGTTTTGAAATGTTAAGTAGTATGGAATGATTGTTGTTTAGATTCTTGCATTACTAGTGTATTGCAAGTTGATAAGCTTTTTAATTTGTATCCAATTTTGTATTAAATGGGAAAGTAAATAAATTTTTTTTTCTTCATTATATTGTGTTTAATTTGCATTATATGATCCCTTTGGGGATGGGCGTGGTACACCGTACACATGAGCTTGAGTCTAGTAAACTTATTCCAAGTAGATAAGTTTGTCATGAATGAATCCCATATTTCTTCCCTTCTCCCTTCGTTTTGAGATTCGATTTCAAGGTAAGTCTCTTTAAAGCAATAAAAATGATTAATAATAACTATTTAAAAATTAGTAATAGATTTAATTTGTATAGATTAATAATTGGCCGATCTAACATGGACGTTTTATATAACCTGAATTTGAAGATTAATGAGTGGCAATTTCGACAAGTCGAAAATTTGCCTCACAAGTCAAGTTATAAACAAACTAACACATACTAGTATAAAGATGATCATGAGATGGGTTGAAATTGGCTAAAAAAGCAAGCTTATTTCAGGCATTATTGACAGGGTCGGGTTGAGATAGGTATACGATCAAGCCAAAAACCTCTTGTGTCCACTAAAATCGAGCCAGCGAGTGGACTTCGAACTAAAATGGTGCTCAAAGCTCAATCTTTCCTTACGTAACTTGATGGCTTGAATTTTGAGCCTAAAACGTTGTCCAAATTCGTTATTTTTGTCAGTCGGGTTGTGTCACCACCAATTATCCTGTACTCTCATATAATCCACTATACAACAATACAACATGATTCGTTCTTGTGTCAACTTGCCTCATCTCAACCTCGCTATAACTTGAGCCAACCCAGCCTAAATTGACTCGATGGGTGCAAGTCAAAACACCCTCACACTCATGCTTACACTCAGTCACTCACTCTTCTCCTTATGTGATTTAAGAGAAAACACAAGGTCACCATATAAAATTTCCCGAAAACTGTCCTCGTACCCTTTGTTCTTGACACATCGTGCACATTTACATATTTGCCCTTAATGAACTAAACTTTGAAAAAGAAAGTACTTCCACCATCTTCATCTTCTCCTCTTCCCCTTTCTCACTCTCTTCTCTCCTGCTTGGACTTCTTCATCTTCTTCCCTTTCCTCGATTCCCAGGTATTCATCATCCCCTCTTTCTCTATTATACACTATTTTGTTCAACATTCATCTGATACTTTTCTACTGATTCAATCGTTTTAAATTTTAGATCTGTTAATATGTGTATTCTTTGTCAATTTAGTATACTATGAATAGTGCAAAAGTTTGAATTTTGTCAATTAATCTGGAATGGAGGGAGTATGATTCATAATTTTGATTTTTAGGGTTTATGATTTGGTTGAATTTTTTTGGGATTTTTGAATTTCTGGTTGATTTTACACAGAAGAAGTGAGTTCATCAAAATATGGATCCAGATTCAGTGAAATCGACTTTCTCTAATTTAGCTATGGGAAATGTTATGGCTGCTGCTGCTCGCAATCTTCAGAAGGTAAATTTACTCTCTTTACCCTTTTCCATCCCTCATTATTCATCTTTGATCAATAAAGTTCAATGCCTTTTTTATTTATCTTTTGATAATTTATCTTTGTTTTATCTCTTGAAATTAGCTTTTATGCAATACCCATTTCCCAATATATTAGATTTATCAATTTGAATTATTTGTTTTAGAATATTGGTTAGTAATTTGTTCAATTGGAGACTACCCCCATTAATGAGAAGTCCGAATTGAACATGAGTTTTTAAGGGTATTGAAGTTGGTTAGTATTCGCGTAAATCGTGGGACTTTATCGAATTCGAGCTTGGCCATGGAAATGTTGATTTCTTAGCTTGAATTCACAATTAGTGAATGGTTGGGTTTTTTATTTTTTTATTTTTTTTTTGTTTTTTTTTTATTTTTTTAATATGGAATGTTGCTTAGTTATAACTTCAATTGGACATTGTGGCCAAGAATGAGAAGCACATATATGAGATTTAAAGGTTGATAGTGTGTGCGAAAACTAAATATGGAGTACCTGTGTTTGTGATGTGCTGGGATATATCCAAAGCGTATGAAGTTTTGTCTTTGTAATGTAGTGAGTTTGTGGGATACTATCTTATTCCGGATCACAATTTGCTTGGTTTCTTGAAAATCCTACACTTCTTTAAGTTTTGATTTTACATCTATATTTTGAAATTAATGGACCCGAATGTAGGAGAGTATTAAGTGGATATGCTTTTGCAAGAAAGAATGCTATTGCTTGCAAATTTTTGTTGTGGTGTTTGTTGTGTTAAATTCCATGGCTATAGTCAGATGTAGGAGACAAATGCTAAGACTAAATTTGTACCCATTGGCAGTTGGTTTAGTAGGGATGATGTTTAAATCCTCGCTGGTTGCTAGTTGAATAATCGTGTTCCTCCATCTCTTTGATGTTTCGAAGGCTTATAAACAGTTCACTTAACTTGTGTTACAGGAAATGATTGTTCAAGAGAAGACACAGGCATCAAGTTCAGTTAATGACGATATTGATCTTGATGAGTTGATGGATGTAAGTTTTAGATCACTTGCAGTTAGGTTGCATGGCACTTATGCATTTTCTAAAATGCTCAACTGTTGTTTCTTTCTGTAACGCCAGGATCCAGAGCTAGAGAAACTGCATGCTGAGAGAATTGCAGCACTACAGGTTTAAATTCTCTTAGTATTGGCATCTGCTAACAAATGTCCTTAAATTATTCACCCTATAGTATATTTGCTTAGAAAGAGGCTGAGAAGCGACAAAAAATGAAGAATCAAGGCCATGGAGAATATAGAGACATTACTGAAGGGGATTTCTTGGGTGAAGTTACTGGCAGCGAATTAGTTATCTGCCACTTCTACCATCGGGAGTTTTATCGATGCAAGTAAGGCCCTACTCTGCCTCTTTAACTTAATATTTATATCAATTAATTTATCGAAGCCATCAAATGATAATTGAGGCCATTTTCTCCTCTAGCATGTTCTTAGTGATATTTAATACACTAATACCCCATTCCATCTCTAAGTTGTGTTCATGCCTATAGCTAAAAAATATCTGTACTTTCTGTGGTCTCGGCATCTTGTGGATCATGCCCCCCTGCTCAACTTATTAATGCACTAACTAGTAAGGCAATTATTTTGTTGAAGCCATCAAATAATAATTGAGGCCTTTTTCTCCTGTTCTTAGTGATATTTAATACACTAATACCCCATTCCATCTCTAAGTTGTGTTCATGCCTATAGCTAAAAAATCTGTTCTTTCTCTAGTCTCGGCATCTTGTGGATTATGCCCCCTGCTCAACTTATTAATGCAGTAACTAGTAAGGCAATTATTTTATCGAAGCCATCAAATAATAATTGAGGCCTTTTTCTCCTCTAGCATGTTCTTAGTGATATTGAATACACTAATACCCCATTCCATCTCTAAGTTGTGTTCATGCCTATAGCTAAAAAATATCCGTTCTTTCTGTGGTCTCGGCATCTTGTGGACATCCCCTGTGGTCTCGGCATCTTGTGGACATCCCCCTGCTCAACTTGTTAACACTAGTAATGGCATTTTTCTGAGTTCAAAGCAGAATTTGTGGCCAAAAAATTTGTCCCGGTGTTATATGGCCTGACCAATGATCACGAATTAGCAGTTGCAATTGCTGCACATCCTACCTCGTTTTGTGATTGTGTCTTTCATTTTTCCTCTCTTCTATGGTATGCTATGTATGAACTACCTTGATTCTACTCATTCAAAATGGGCAAGAGTTTGAGCGTATATTCAAAAGTTTCTATAGTAGAAAATTGTAGAGAAGGCTTGGCAATGTTCACTGTGAATAATGGTTTGGTAAGGAGGTCCTCTGTAATAGACTAGAATTTCTGATTATAAGTTCTATTGAACAAGAAAAGTTAAAGATAAAGCTTGAGTCTTTGATTGATAATGGCAGAAATTTCGATACAAAAGTGATAGGGTAATAGCTTTAGGCTATTACTCTCTTGATAACTTTAGGTTATATCTCCTAGTAACTTGAGGTTACCTCACAATCCACATAATGTCCTATTGCCTTCACTACTACACTTTATATACTAAAGCCACATTCAAAACATTAACCTAATATTAATTGTTCTTGTCCTCTACTGCTGCCATACAGAATCAGGAATCAGTCCCATGCTTCCCCTCCCCTTAGTGCTTTCTTAATTGCATTTGTCCTCTAGTGCTAGTGTGCTACTATGTTCCTTGTTGGCTTAGTGGTGGTAGACACCGGGTCTATAACATCCTCTAAAGATGAAAGAAGACAAACATAATCTAATTCATGTTCATGGTATAGAATAGTGGATCCAAATGTATTTAAGGGCTGTTTGGCTCACTCCTTCAAAACGGAAAGAAATCAAGGAAAGGAAATGAGGTGAAAGGAATCAAGAAAGGGAATTTAATCTATTTGTATGGTTCGGTTAATGATTATAATTTGAAATCCTTATTCAATGTTTGATTGCCTAAATAAAAGAAAGTAAAATCACGTCTTTCTATCTACCCAAAGGGCCACAACCAACGAGCCAACATGATGTCACTTGCGAGAAACTTGTAAATGGAAGAATCACTGTCCCTCACTGGCATCACTACACCACCTCCCACTTCGTCAAAGGTGTCTGTCACACTAACTAAGCTTCACCACAACCACTAGAAGTTATCCCTTCATCTCTCCTCATCATTTTATCTATCGATGATGCCTTAAAATAAAATTGACTAACTTGCATTCTTGGTGGTGAAAGTGATAAGAATTTCATGTCTGAAACTTGGTTACCATGTCAAGCAACCAAGGAGTCAAAAGTAAGCCATGACTTCAGTTAAAAGGTTGGCGGTTCAGTCTCTTTCTTTGTCTTCATTGGTCAATAATAGAAAAGGAGATGATGATGGGAGGTGACAGATGTTTAAAGGCGTTAGTGGTGCAGTTGTGGTTTATATGTTGATGGTTGGTTGGTGCGGTGGATTAGATGGGTAGGCTGTAGGCGGTGATGGATTCATTGTGAGGCTATTAGGCGGATGGATGGTTTTTGTTGGTTGGGAAGTGGGCAAATGGTGGCCTGTGGCTGGGAGTTGATAGCTAAGAAGCTGGTAGGTGGTGTAGAGGAGAGGGGTAGAGGAAAATGGGGTAATACTCAAGTCCCAAGAAAAAGGTGGACTTGATGTAGAGGCTTAATGGGGAACTTCCAAAGGGAAAATGGGGAAATTGAGTTAAAAAAATGTTCAACCAAGTAGCTTCTAAGGGAAATGGAGATTGTAATTGTGTTTTTTCATTGCTGCTACAGAAAGACAGCATTTCAATTTTCTTGTGGTTGTCATTGTTGAATAGGCAGCTTTCTGAGCTGACACTTTTGTATTGCAGAAACTTTTACATAGCTTACCTAATTAGATTAAGAAGTTTTTTGCTATCTTTTCCAGGATAATGGATAAGCATCTGAAGGCGCTTGCACCCAAGTACCTTGGTACTAAGTTCTTAAGACTGGACGCTGAGGTTAGCTTTCTTTGTAAATTTTGTTGATGTTACTTTATAAAGTCGTTTGTCTTCCAATTCAGTTTCGGTCTCTCAAAGACTTAAACAATTTTAAGTTCCTATAAATTGCGGATGACAAACTGATGATGTATACCAAATGCAGAACGCTCCCTTTTTCATATCCAAGCTCGGAATCAAAACCTTGCCATGTGTTATATTATTCAAGTTAGTTTTCCATCTTTTCTGTATCGTATCCTTGTCTTATTCTTAAGTGTTCGTCATTATCTGCTGTGCCAAAAAGGCTCTATACTCTCTACATTGGACATCACAGTTGATTACAATTTTGCCATCTGAATATGGCTTTCCTGAATGAATTTCAGGAAAGGAATAGCAGGTGATAGACTAGTAGGGTTTCAAGACCTTGGAGCTAAAGATGATTTCCCGACTAAGAGACTAGAAAATCTATTGATCAAGAAAGGTAGAAATCTTTTTTTTTTTATTTTTAGGGTTGCAGTGCTTGCTATTCTGTGTCTGACCAGTTGTTCACAGGTATTATCATAGAGAAGGAAAAAGATGAAGACGAGGATGATTATTCTGAAAGTAAACGCACGTCGGTCAGATCATCGTTGAACCTTGGTTCAGATTCTGATTAGTGATTTTACAGAAGGAAAGAAGGCAACCCTTTTTTTTGTTCACCTTTTATGTACTGATTATCAAGTTCGTGTGATAATCAGTTCTGTAAGCCCTTTAACTTTTTTGGCTCATAAAGTCATAATCCTTGTGTGTTGTGTTAGTGGAAACGTTTAATATGAAAGTATATTTAACAAGAATTATATGGAGTATTTCGTACACATAGTCTTAAGATAAGACTATCCATGCGTCTTGTTTAATTTTCTTTAACCATGAATTATGTTCGTGTTATTATTGTTAAAATGATGTGAAAAACATTGCGACAAAGGAACTGGACAATAATTGTAGGGAATTATGCCAGTATATGAACATACAGCATCTAATCTCAAGGAACAAAACAAAAATCTGAATCTTTTTTGGGGAAATAATATCTACACTGATGAAATAAAGCATAAACTGGAAGAATGATATATTCATGAGACCTACTCCCTCTCTATGAACTTCAAAAGCATTTCCGCATTCCGTTTAACTAAAGTCTTAAACTAGCAATATAACAACTAAACCAGGGGATGACAACTAAACCAGGCTGATGTAGACAGAGGTGTAAATTCAGGTACCTGGGTCGGGTCAGGTTGGGTTGGGTCTATTTCGAAGTTGTGTCATGCTAACTAATTGTGTCTATACGAGTCAAAATCTAAATCAGGTTTTTTTCGAGACGGGTTGAATCAAGTTAGGTCGGTCAATTTAGTTTTTGACACCTTTAAATGTAGTGCGTCTTTTTTCTAGTTCTTTCTGGCTCAAGAAGTTGAAAAAGACATTCATTGTAGATTAATTTAAGTATTTCTTACAATACTGGGCTATTTCTTGGTAAGAATTGTTTTTACTAAAGCATAGCTACTTTATTGTCCAAAGCCTTCACTGAAACAGGGAGAGTAAAGATCCACGCATGATACTGAGTAAATAGGATGTTTTAGTACTGAGACCATTTAACTTTCAAATTTTAGGATATCGTAAAATTAGTTCTAAACTCTTTCCATTCCTTTCTGTTGGTTCCGATTTGACTATTTTTCTCTCAAATTCCAAAACACAACCAACACATAGGAACGGAGGGAGTACTGTTTTTCTTGTCAAACTAGGGGTGAAAAAGGTATGACGAGATTATAGGATAACCGGAAAGCAGAAGCGCCACTTTAGATATGACATCAACTTTTTTGAGGGTAGCTTATGATTTCTCACGTTAAATTTACACAAATCGGTATCGCCTTCAAATCCGACAGTTAAAAAACTGGATGACAAATTTGACTGAAGGAACATATAAACAAAGCACCTCACCTCAATATTCCGAAAATAGAAGGGGAAGCAAGCATCAATATAGACTGAAACTAGTTGTGGACACGGTATAATCATCAATAATACGGAGTATAATGGACCCTTTCATTTCATTATGCAAGGCTGTATGGAGTACTGGTATAAGCTTTCTGAACTCGATGGTTCAAAATGTTGTGTATTTATTCAAAACATCTTGTCTCCGTTATTCAAAACACTCATGAGCTCTATATTCATGGAGAAGTATAGCAGTTAAGGGTGAGCAAAACGTACGCAGATGCGCCTAGATATGAGGCTCCTACACGAAGGGCAATCGTTCATGCCTTGCTTCTCATGGAGCTCATTGCACATTTTGCAAACCACCTGATGAGCACAGGGAAGAAAAACTACAGACATCTCTTCTGAGAGGCACATCACACACTCCCTTTCTCGTTTTACCCCTCCAACAGCAGTACATTCTTGAAACCCGTTTGCAATTCTAGACTTGTGTGTGTCCCTGGATTCTTTAGCGGCAGGTGCACTTTGGGCATCTGTGAGCCTGCTTGCAAAGTTTCCATCAATGCCTCTCTTCATAGCTGCTATCTTTGATGAGTCGGTCTTCAGTCTCAACTGAGAAATTTCCTTCTCAAGCTTTTGGATATCTCCTTTATACTTCTGAAGATTAGCTTCTGATTTCAGTTTTATGGCATCCTCTTTAGATTTTGCAGATGCCTCGAGCTGTTCTCTTTCTTTTTTAATTGAGTTTGCTTGAGCGAGTAATTCTTCCTTTGCCTTCTCTTCCTGCTTCCACCGAGCCTGTAAATATTGTACACTCGGGCTATCAGAATTCAGAAAGCTCAAGGTAAAAATAATGATACAGTGAAGTATAAAACAAGAGATTTTAAGCAACAGAGAACATATCGACGTATACTATGATTGTTGACTTCTCCAGATGATGATGTACTGAAAGATTCCTTTTGTGTTTGTCCATTTACGAAGCAAGTCCTTAGAAACGTAAATCTGAACAAGATCTGAAACCCAAAGGCTTCAAATTTCACCAGTAAAATACTAATCAAATCTAAGACTAGGTATTTACAATCACACAGATCCTCCAAGAGCTGCAAACTTCTTAAACATATGCTGACAGAATGAAGTCAAGAAGCAGGGACATGTCTATTCTTCTAGACGTAAGCGCACTTCCATAACAAAGAATGTGAGGGGGATAATGGAGCCCAACAAGAGCATGAAGCTGCTAATGATGACAACAAAGAAACTTGCGCACATAGATTGCACTGATTATTAGATGACAAATGCATCTGCCAAGTGTCATGATGAATTGATTACATCAACTTTGTTACACTAATCTGAAGATCTATAAAGCTTAACCAACTTTTAGGATACAGAACCAGAAAAACTCTTACAAAGCGTAAGCAATAGGAATGATTTCAGAGTGTCACAAGCAACATCATGCCTTTAGGAGCTAGGAATAAGTATGGAAGTGTATGTAGCAGCTTGTTGGACTGGACGACAAAGAACTGGAACCCAAGGTAACCATATTGCAGTTTGCATGTTCCAGAATGTGGTTTGCAGAGGGAAAGGGGTTGGGTAATAATGCTCCCAGGCACAGATTTTCTAATTAGAATTGCTGATTTTTAACAGCGACCTGCACAAGTTACAACTCATTGGGTGATACCCTAGCAACAAAGGATTGAATTGCTGATTTTTAAGTTACAACTCATTGGGTGATACCCTATTAAAGGAAATGCATATACTTATACAGTTCTAATAAAGAATAGATGAATTGCTAATACAGATGAAAGATACAACTATACAAGGGAAACCTTAAACTCATCCAATATACAATATCATACTTGTATTGATACGCAGCATCCATAGATTTATTAAAATATGTGTAGCCTAAGAAAAAGGCCAAAGCAATCATTGTTATTCTTCTAGAAGCAATGCTGTATCGAGATCTTTACCCATAACATTATTCGTTTCTAGTAACATGTGTGCACAGTACGTAAATCAACTCACAAGATGATAAGCAAGCATTAGTATCTGTATCCATTTTTTTTGTCTTAGTGAATACTGCTAGCCTATTCAGAACTCCAGACCTCAATAATGGGAGAGAATCTAACTTATTGACCTATAGGCTATAGCCATTTAAACAATAATACAGACCAAGTAATAGTGCAGAACAGCATAAGATCAAATTATAACTGCCATTCTATTTAATATATACTTCTTTGGCTTCATTCAAGATAGTTCATAGTAATCACGGAGATGCAACAAATACCACAAAAGAATACATTACACTTTCTTTTTTTGAAATAGGAGGAAGCAGTAAACGCAAATATTTATGCCATTGGCATAAATGTTCAGTTATACTTGACAATTACAACAACCTTCAGAGTGATACCTTCTGTGTGGACTGCCTCTGTAGGTGATTTAAGAATATAAAGACACTATAGAAACTTTTATTCAGAGATGAATGTAATCAACAGCGAATATGTAGAGATTTCTAAAGACTACTGAACTATATTTGAGAACAAGTTTTCATACGGCTACCTTTCTTTCAAAATGAATGGATGTTCTAAAATGCCACAAATATTTTCTAATCTTTACGGGGCAGACCACCAGAATGATCAGCTTCCTTTAGGACCACTTACAAGCTATGTAACTATAGCATGGGTATGTATCCAAGTGCAGCCAATCATGAAAATTTTCCATGATTGGTCAGAAATGAAGTGTCAGATGTCCAAACCCATGTTAAGTACTTGAGGTCAAATGAAGTCCTAATAAACATAGCTCATCAACATTTCAGAATCAGATTTAAAAGCTTCCTTTGCAAACATTTTCATAAAAGTCCTAACAAACAATCACATAATGTAAATAAGATTATGAGACATAAATGCGGTTTTGAACCGAAATAGTGAGATATCTGCATTGAAACTTCATTATCCACTGCCAAAATTTCAAGATTGAGGTAGTTCATAACTCAGTATTATAAGCTTTTATAATATTTTGGCCAAATTATCTGTTAGTTACTAGGACTTGGGAATCCAGTGCACTTCTAAATTCAATATCAGTTTCAACAAATGCTCTTACAAGAGACTCAGCAGGGCTGCAATTTAAAACTCATAATTTCAAAACCTTGAGCAGATAGAAAGAATAGATAACAAGAGACAAAATGACCTATATGCTTAAAGGCTTGATCCATGCAAACTCATAACCTTCCAACATCAGGATTAATGATCTTCCCCACACAGTACGCCTCCTAGAGGGCCATGGTTATCACTAGTATACATAAAATTTGACCAGTTGAACAGGAAGATAAAGACAAGATTTTCCAATAATATTTTTATAAAGCAAGCGAGGCATACTTACTCCAAGCTGAAAGCCTGAAACTAGGAGAAGACAGATGGCATAGAAGGAGGATATTGCTATAGTTGGATATTGGAGGTTTTTTTAAGTAAAATCTGTGAGCAACTACTTGCAACTGTTCCACTCTTAGAAACATGGTTTTTTTTTTCCTTTTTTTTTATATATAACTACTAAATTTATGTTTTTCTTAAAATCTAACAACCTTTTCGATGATTTTTGTTATACCTTTTGCCTACAGGGCCCACATTTCCTACTCCCATTTTAATGAACATAATATGACTAAAGTACCTTACCTTCCTCCTGTCCCCTAACTTTTTAAATTTGACTTTCCTTGCTGGAATTGGTTGATTAATTGATTAATTATGCATCCAATGTTTAATTTATTGTTTGTAACAACCAAAAAAAAAAAAAAAAGAAGAGACACAAACTGAAAGACTAAAGCATGGGTTTTATCTGAACTATGAAAATAAGTGAAAAGAGCCCGCCTACATCAAATTCAAAACCCTTTGGATACTTTTAACTATATTCCTCAGTTATATAAACCTAATTCAGAATAATGTTTCCAAAAATTAAAACATTTAACCTGAAATAGTTAACAAGGAATGATAATTCCTGTTGTAAACCTAGTTGATCAAAATTTCAAAATGCTTAAATATTAATTTATAATGAAAACTGAGTGAGAGATGCATTGGATCTTGAGAGGAGTTTTTGGCTGTTTTGAAAATAAATGAGACAGATCTGGAAAAAAAATGACGGAAAATCGTTAATGAACCAGGTAGAGTAGGCCTAGATATGGAATTAGTGACGGTTACCATCAAAAGGTATCAAAGTGTGAGAAAGTTTCAAACAATTACCTTTCCTTGATTTCTTTAAAGCCTAAGCGCAAACTAGATATATGTAGAGGCCTAAAACACAACTTTCAAAAGGATGGAAACAAGAATTCAATTTAAATGGATCTATCGCTTAAACGTGTTGGGGAGAGGGGAAACAAATAGAAGAACGAAAAAGAAAACTCCAATGCAAATGTCAGATTGAACTCAAGGAGCTGGCTTGGTTATGGCAGGAAGAAAAACTGAATACCAGTTATTACTGCAGCAGCTAAAGCTAGAATTGGTAATTTACTACCCAGATAAGAATGCCAAAAGCCATGTTCACTCATCTTACCTAGTCAAGCTGCAGGCACACAACTTCTAACATGTATATATGTAATATTGACCTTGAACTATAAAGAAGAGATAATTATCTACTGTTAGTCATACTGAAGTTAGATTTACCTCAGCTTCTAAATTTTGTTTACCTATTGATTTTTTCCCTTCATGGATATTAGTAGTATAGCTCATAAGTTAGAAAGTGTAACATGACAAATTTTCCAGAGAAGAGAAAGGGTGAACTAGTCAACTAAATGATTCAGGAGTGAAATATAAGCAGGGATCCCTAATTCCTAAATGGTCAACCTTTTGAACTAGTGTTGTACATCAAAGCATGAAATAGTTTTTCAGTATTTGTGCTCATTGGCAATCACATGAACTTCCAGAATCCACCAACTTATTCTCATCCAGAATGTTTTATAGTATTAGAAGAAATGAGCCACTGAGCTAGCATTTGCCAGAAATTCTTTTACTCACACAAAAGAGAAGAAAGAAAAACAAAATGCAGAAATCAAACAATGTAAACAAACATACCTCAAGCTGGTTATAGAGATCTTTAGCTTGTTCGAGTTCCTGCTGTAGCTGAGACAACTTACGTGTCTCGGTTGCAAGCTCCTCCTGGAAAATACTCTTCTGCTTTTCCCACGTCTGAAACTTTATCAATGTCTTCTTCTCTCGCTTTGAGACCTCCTGACAACTTGCAGCAGACTCAACTGCACGTACCTTGGCATCTTCCATTTCCTGCCTGAGTGATGCGTTCTCCACCTTGAGTCTTCGTACAGCAGCATTTGCTAGGTCAACCTTTTCACTAGCCTTACCCAATGCATTCTCCATCTCAGAAAGCTTCTTCATGGTGTTCTCCTCTAAACTTTGTTTCTCCTTTTTGAGACGTTCCACTTCCTCTTTTTCTTGCCTCAAATTTTTGAGCTCAGCTTTGTCCTTACTCAGCCTCCGGGCAGCCTGCATTACCTTTTGGTTTGCCCACTCTGTCCATTCCTGAAGTTGATGTTGTAATTCCCTAATCCTAGGCACCAACTTCATAATTACCTCATCTATTTTATCCTGAGGTACCCACTGAGCTAGAGACTTATCATAGGGTATATCAGCAGCACTAGGGATAGAAGCCTCACTATTATAGCTTTGATTCACTTGAGGAGGATTACTTTTTGCTGGTAGTGAAAGAGAAAGTTCAGTATCAGCAGCTGACACATCAGGCTTGGTTTTGGCCACTGATGTCGCTGAAGTATGATCCGTCTCAGGTGATGAGGACACGGTACTTCGGGCTTCTACAGTAAATGAAGGTGAAGAGGAGGAAATTGTAGAACAGGCTGAAAAACTGAGGCTTCCATTTTCATGTGCCAATTCCAATCCCATTGCCATTGCTTTGCTTATCTTCAAGGAGGCACTCTTCATGTTAAGGGTAGCCGAATCAGACGTGGGTCTGATTCTTTTATCCAAGATGTAACCACTGAACTTTGCCGTTCTAAAAGACCCTTTTGCCCCAAAGGACCTGCAGCTTTTCTCTAGATGAATAGATTTTTGCCGAAGGATAGATTCTCTCTTTGAATTGCCAGAATGTGTCTTCCTGCTTGACACAGATTTTTCTTCCGGGGAAAGAGTATGTGATATACCTATAGCACTGAAAGGCTTATCTATGGAATTAGATTGTGAGGAAGTTGAACGCTCTTTTGCTGAAGTTGTTCCTTTCGGAACGTTGGTATTCTTTGGTTTGGTGAGATTAGGAACTCCAGCAACTTTGTGCTTGCCAGTGTGATTTACATTGCTTGGAACTGCTTTAGAGGGACTAGGAAGACTCATTTCTACACTTTTGGACTCGGCTTTCAAATGGGAATGAGGGGGATTGGTTGAACTGTCATTTGGAGATCCTTCACTTATCAAGCTACTTAAGGGGTCACTATCCATGGCACAGGCATGTGACACATTCATGTCACATATTAGCAAACACCACATTGCATCTCCAGTGCTGAAGAAAGGTCTAACCTCTTGGAGTACACATACCAATTCTGCCAATACATACTTCTCCAGCTGCTGCAGATCCTCGAAACAATGCTCCCTTAAAGGACTTATATCTTGCCCATTCCTAAGAAATACCAAAGCGTTGTCCACGATATTTGATACAGTATCCTTAGACCCGTAACAAAGACCAGACCTCAAAACAGCCCTTGTGGCAACGGCTTCGGTGTATCCAAAAGCAACTATTTTCTTAATTGCACTCTTAAATATAGTATCAAGATTGCTCAAAACAAGCTCCTCCAGCTGAGTTTCAGTAAGATCACTCCAATCCGCATCTTGGAAGTCGTCATGTTCCTCTTCCTCTCTAGGATGACTAGAACCCACCTCAGACGAACCCCCCAAAGAAGCACTTGATAATCCAAGGTCAAGTTTTAAATTATCCGAACGGTCCTGACATACGCCACAAACATCACAAGGGCTAGGCGGATGTGCATGACTAGCTGCCATCTCAAATTTCTCAGCTGAGAATTCATAACTCGTCCCATCATTTGTAGTTGAGGGAGAGACCTTATGAGGGTCACTTGTAGGTGGATCAGCCCGAAATTTCCGCTTATTCCTACTTCCTTTCTCTTGAATAGACAATGGTGATAATTGACTACAACTACTAGTACTCGCTTTCGCTACCATTGATGCCATCATTCAGCTGCCAATTAACACAACCACCATATACCACAAACAAGTACATTTCATCAGATTTTATCATTTTATCCCACCAATTGGTCCAAACCAATCCCTAACAATCAAATTACACTCTAATACACTTTATCCAACAATCCCACTTAAATAAGCAAATGTAAAATCATTCCAAAGCAACCAAAATAAATAAAAATAAAAATCAACCCATTTTCATCAATAGAATCACTTCAATTTCCAGATACCAAACATCATCAATTAAAAAATCTATCAGTAATCACTAATAAAACAATCAATTTAATCGATCTTCCAATAAAATAACAACAAAAATTACAAAGAGTCAATCTTTATTCCCAAGAAAATCAAACTAATTGATGATGCTCGAATTTCAACTGATTAAAGAAGCTGATTAACCAATTAACATCAAATACAAAAAAAAAAAAAAAAAAAAAAAAGGAATCTTAGCAATTCCAATTCTAACCCAACAAAGAAAAAAGCATCAAAATCAATCAAACAACAAGAAAACGAAAGAACCCTATTGATTACAGAGAAAAATAGCAAAAGTGTAGGGATCAACTTCACTACCAGATCAAAATGACGCAGCTGATTGACGAATAGATTGAGCAAAGTTTTGGTGGTTATTGGTGGTGGTGGTGGTGTGATTGAGGACCGCAAAACCAAAAGGTTTTTGGTGGCGAAGGAACAAAGTATCGAGACTTGAGAGCTTAGCAAAAGGACCCCTCTTCCTATATTGTTATTGTCAATGTTAATGTAATAATGTTAATGTTAATGCTCTTTCCCTTCTCCTAATTTTGCCCATAAAAATAAAATTTGTGATTTTTTCCCTTAATCTTTATGATTTATTTCCTTAAAGTTTAATCCTTGGAAGTCCTATCCATGTGTATAAAATGTATTAGTAATTTATTATGATTTCGATGCGTGAAAATGGCTTATTAAAGATATATAGGGTCGGTTAGCCATAAAAAAAGTAACGTAGACATGAGTTAGGCATGACATGTTAGTGATGACACGTTTTTCTGTGTGCTGGTTTTTTTTTTTTTTTTTTAATGACAATGCTCAACATGACAAAACATGCTATAACAAGTGAGATTTGGTTTAGGCACGCAACCATGATATGGTTGCATAGCTCAAGTCATGCTAACTCATCATTTGGAAATTTTTAGCATAACATGCATGTAGCTAACGGTTAGGGGTGTAAGTTAAGCTAGCCTAGCCAACCCCATAGTACATGACCTCGACACAAGGCATGATTAACATAGCCCACAATCATTGTTGTGGTTCTTACATTTTAATAATTGATTTATATAAAAGCTTGAATACATGTTCCAATTTGAATGATATAGTGTAAGCAAAGGCTTAATCAGATTGTACTCTCGTTTGTGTGAAAGTATCATCAAGTGACTAGCATTGATTGATTTTTATAAAGCCAAAATATGTTAGGTCATCATGAATGTGAACCAAAATTCTCTCTCTTTGGTGGATATGGTGTAAGCGAAAGCTTAATTAAGTTGAACATGAGTAACTTATAGTTAGTAAGCAAATTACTTAACCAATTAGTGATAATATTAAGAAATAGTCCGAGCTTGATGTATGAGTTAGTCGTGCAACCACAGTATGATGATGGTGTTTGAAGATTGTTATATAAGTTTATATCTGTTTGACCCCAAATTAATTTTTCATAAGTGTTTAGTTAAGACTAATTGGAATTAATCACATATAATATTAAAGAATCGCTAACAATTATCCCTTGATACTCAAATCTAGAAAACCCCACTTGGAGAATGAATAATGTAATTAGTTTGTTTTGGGGCTTTTAATTTGTAGTTTTGTGGCTCTTTGATTTTTTTTCAATCATAAATTCAATAAGAGTTTATTTTATGATTTATTAATTCCAAACAACCTTTTGATGTTGCCTATAAGCAATATGGTAAGTCCTAAAACTCTCATTCTTCCTGCATATTGCTAGCTTTTATCATGTTATACCTCAAAATGAGTGGTATAAGTTAGATGCGCTTTGAATTCATTCTTTAAATCTCAAAAATATGTCTTTATATTCTTATCAAAGAATATTACAAGAATTTGTTTGCCTTTAAAAAAAAAAAAAAAATTGGTCCAATTCTAATTGTTGATAGAAAGTCGACATTTTCTCACACGATTGATATGAATCATGTCTTATTATTATGTTATTTATTCTAAATGTTTGGGCCTAGTCCATGTCCTAAGCCCAATCACCTAAAATGACGAAAATACCCCTCTATGATCCAACCCACCATTAATCATCATAATATACAAATTTACCACCACCCATCTGTCAACTAAAGTACAACTTTGCCACCTGAAAGTACATCTATAAATAGCTCTCAAATGATTAATGATGATAACTTTTGCTAATTCTCTCTCCTTCTCTCTATACTTTCTCTCTCTCCTTAAAGTACACTCTCTCTACTTTCTCTCTCTTAAAGTACGTTTGCTGACTTAAGCATCGGAGGGGCTTTCCCGGGTCACACCCCCAGGGCAGCTAATTGTTAAGATATATATGTAATATTATGATTAGTCAAAGTGTATAATTAGTTTCCTTGTTTGTAGCCTAGATTAGGGGATTTGATATCTCTTGTATATTGTATATATATCCTGCTAAGCAATGAGAAAGACTCACAGAATACAATTCCTTCATGGTATCAACAATCTAGGGTATTTCTTCCGCTGCACCCTAGTTGTTCCGCCCCTTTTTCTCTTCTTCTCTTTTCTTCTTTTCTCTGTGATTAGCAGCCATGTCGAACAACAAGACTCCCATTCATCCGGCCATGACTGTTTCTAACATCAAAAACAGCATTCCCATCACCTTGAGATGGAGAATGTTCAATACTCCACGTGGGCGGAGCTATTCAAGGTTCACGCTCGTTCACACAAGGTTCTCAACCATATTATTGCTCCGAAGAAGAAGGTTGCCATGCCTTCTACCGACGAGGACAAGGAGCTTTGGTCGACTCTAGATGCAACTGTTCTCTCGTGGATTTATTCCACCATTTCTCATGACCTTTTGCATACTATCATTGAACCTGATTCAACGGCAATGGAGGCTTGGAATAGGTTGCGTGAAATATTCTAAGACAACCAAACTCCTGTGCTGTAACTCTTGAACATGATTTCTCCAACACGAAGATGGAGGACTTCCCTAACGCCTTGGCATACTGTCAAAGGCTCAAGAGCCTTTCCGATCAGATGAAGAATGTGGGAGCACCGGTGGACAACAACCACCTTGTACTTCAATTAGTTTTTGGTCTCACGGAATCGTACAACGGCATCGCTACACTGATCAGACAGAGCAATCCTCTACCTCAATTTTACCAAGTCCGCTCCATGCTTACCTTGGAGGAGGCAGGCTTGGAAAAACGAGCGGCAACGGCGTCAGCCATGGTGGCGTCTTCACAAGATTCGAAAGCTGGGTATGACAGTTCTGGGGCTCGTGGCAAAAATAAAAATCAAAAGAAGTCAGGTGGTCGGAATCAAGGCAACAGTGGTGGCCGGGGGTCAGGTATCGGTGGTGGCTAGAACTCAGGCGGGGTAGGTCGCGGCACTTAGGGTCATCAGTAGCAACAGGGCTGATCCGCCCCTCCCCCATGGCAGCAAGCATACTCTCCTTGGGGGTGGGTTCCTCAGTGGGCAGCCCCTCCTTGTCCATACCCAAATCAAGGATGGGCTCGCCCACAAGGCCCAATGAAGCAGCAGCAGCAGTCAGGCATTCTCGGCCCACACCCATAACAAGCCTATGCAGCTTCTCCGCAGCCCATGTCCTATGCTCCAACGGATATTAAATCGGCTATGCACACCATGACCTTGAGTTAACCCGATCCCTCGTGGTATATGGATACCGGTGCAACTTCTCACATGACTTCCTCCAACGGCAATCTCTGGTCTTATTTTAATTTGAGCAATCATCGTAATGGTATTGTTGTTGGTAATGGTCATACGATTCCAATTCGTGGTTGTGGTCATACTACTTTACCTTCTCCAAACCCACCTTTGTCCCTTTCTAATGTTCTTCATGCCCCCAAACTCATTAAGAATCTAATTTCGGTTGGAAATTTACAACTGATAATTGTGTGTCTGTTGAGTTTGACCCTTATGGTTTTTCTGTGAAGGATTATCGGATGGGGATGCCAATAATGAGATGTGATAGCCAAGGAGACCTATATCCACTCACTACCACCATCTCAAATTCTACTCCATCGACCTTTACAGCTTTAGCTTCTTCTCTTTGGCATGATTGTTTGGGACATCCGAGATCGTCTATTTTAAAAACTCTTCGTAGTAATAAAAGCATTGAATGTAATCATACTTCTAGCTCTAGTATTTGTCATTCTTGTGTACTCGGAAAACATGTTAAGTTGCCTTTTCTTTCCTCTAATTCTATTACTTCTATGCCGTTTGATATTATTCATAGTGATCTATGGTCATCTCCTGTTTTAAGTTCTTTGGGTCATCGATATTATATGCTTTTATTGGATGATTATTCTAAGTTTTTGTGGACTTTTCCTATAGCCAAAAAGTCGGATCGGATGTTTTGGTAAAGTAAAAAATTTCCAAGCATTTATTCGCAACCAATTTGAACGCCCTATTAAGACCATTCAATGTGACAATGGGAGGGAGTATGATAGCAGATCTTTTGGGGCTTTGTGTGAGTCTAATGGCATGTCTTTTCGTCTTTTGTGTCCCCATACATCTTCACAAAATGGAAAGGCTAAGAGAAAAATTAGATCATTGATTAATATTATTTGCACCTTACTTGCTCATGCATCTCTACCGCCATCTTTTTGGCACCATGCATTGCAAATGGCAACTTATCTTCACAATATCCTTCTGAGTAAATTGTTAAAATACAAGTCTCCTCTCCAAATTCTTTACCAAAGGGAACCATTTTACTCTCATTTACGTGTCTTTGGGTGTTTATGTTACCCCTTATTTTCGTCAACCTCTATCAATAAGCTTCAACCTCATTCTACACCTTGTGTCTTTTTAGGGTATCCACCGAATCATAGGGGTTACAAATGCTATGATTTATCTTCTAATAAGATCATAATAAGCCGACATGTTATGTTTGATGAAAATGTTTTTCCCTTTGCTAAATTACATACTCCCACTTGATTTTTTGGATGAGGGTCTATTCCATATGTGATTCATCACATTCATACTTCACCAAATGTTGCGCCTGGGCAGCCCTCTCAGCAGGCCCAACCTGAGTCTGGGCCCAGCTCTCTTACTGGCCCTGATTCGCCTCTTCTACCTGGGCCGCACCTTATATCCCCACAAAGCAGCCCACTCTCTCCTTCTAGCCCACATCCGCCACCTGATGTGCCTACCCCCTCACTGACCCAACTCTTGAGCAGCCCACTAATTCACAATCCAAAAACCACACCCCATCCCACTATGGTCATACGCAGCAAGCATAGTATTACCAAACCTAACCCAAAGTATAAAAATTTTAATACTATGGTGTCCACAGTTACGAAGTCCCCCCTTCCTCGTAACCCAATTGCTGCTCTACGTGACCCTAATTGGAAAATGGCTATGGATGTAGAATTTAATGCTCTTATTAAAAATAAGTCATGGAAGTTGGTGCCCCGTCCGCCTGATGTGAATGTTATTCGTTCTATGTGGATTTTTACTCATAAGGCGAAATCTAACGGTGATTTGAGAGGCATAAAGCCCGTCTTGTAGGTATTGGCAAAACACAACAGGTTGACATTGATTGTGGGGTGACATTTAGTCCGATGGTGAAACCGGCTACCATTTGTACTGTTCTTAGCTTGGCTTTCTCTAAAGCTTAGCCCATACATCAACTTGATGTTAAGAACGCTTTTTTGCATGGTAAGCTTAATGAAACAGTATATATGCATCAACCTGTTGGGTTCCGTGATCGAACTCATCCTGATTATGTATATTTGTTGCGAAAATTCTTATATGGTCTTAAGCAGGCATCCCGGGCATGGTACAAGAGGTTTGCCGATTTTGTTGCTTCTATTGGGTTTACTAAAAGCAAGAGTGACAACTCTCTCTTTATTTATCATATGGGGTCAAATGTGGCTTATTTATTATTATATGTTGATGAAATTATTCTGACTGCTTTATCTGATGCTCTGCAATGTTCTATCATTTCTCTTCTTGGTTCGGAGTTTGCTATGAAGGACTTGGTTCCTCTTATTTATTTCCATGGCATAGCTGCGACAAGACATAAGGGTGGATTATATCTGTCACTACGGAAGTATGCAGAGGAGATTATCGAACGGGCTGGTATGTCTTCGTGTAAGCCCTCGGCAACACCAGTCGAGGTCAAACCGAAGGTTAGCTCTTCCGGCTCACCATATGAAGACTCGACATTGTACCGTAGCGTTGTTGGGGCTCTTCAATACCTCACTTTTACGAGGCCGGATATCTCATATGCGGTCCAACAGGTATGCTTACACATGCATGATCCGAAAGATAGTCACATGTCTGCTCTTAAGCGGATAATTCGGTACATACAAGGTACTCTTGAACATGGTTTGCATCTTTATCCATCATCCATATTTACACTTATATCATATACAAATGTTGATTGGGGTGGGTAGGCCGATACGAGACGTTCAACTTCCGGATATTTGATAACTTGTTATTTTGTATGATTTTAAAGTGATTTTGAGCCTTAGAATTGTGGGAAATCAATGCTTAGTTCACTAATTACTCTATTTTTATGCATTTTTTGTGTATCATATGCTTCACGGGTTTGCTAGTGTTTTGGTGCATATTTAGGTATAAATATGGCACTTTGAAGCTTTTGGACAAAGAAGAAAATAAGTTGGAGACAAGAAGAGGAAATAAGGGAGCTATGGAAGAATGAAAGAAGTAAGGAAAAGCGTACAAGAGTGAAATAAGAGCATTTGGAAGGGTTTTGGAAGGATTTTTTCACTAAGGTCAACTTCAAATGACTATAACTTTTTTTCTACTCAAGTTTTTGAAGTGATTAAAATTGGAGATTAAAGTTAATCTCAAGAGCTATCCAACGACTGCTTACATGCCTTATTCCAATGAGTAATGAAGAAGTTATGATCTTCCGAAATGAAGCTGTTTCGCCAGAAAAAGCTGCACGTCCGTGCCAATTGATGCACGTCCGTGCCAATTGATGCACGTCCGTGCAAGGTCAGGCAGTAGCTATTGTTCTCATTTTAACAGGTCTGCACGTCCGTGCAACCTTTGGCACGTCCGTGCCGACCTGTAGACGGGCCGATTCTTGGTTTCTCCGTCCTTTTACTTGGGGGTTATATAATATCCCTTTAGCTTCATTTGTAAGGGGGGGATATTTCTTAGTTTATTTTTAGCTTAGGTTAGGGTTTTTAGAGAGAGAAACTCTCATTTTCTAGAGAGAGAAAGTGAGAAAATCTTGTTGAAAGCTTGGAATATGAAGAATTGAAGGAAGGAGACTTGAAGATTTGGATACTCCTTGCAATATCAATGAGAATTTCTTACTCTCTCTCCTATTTTGTTATTCTATTTACTTATTTTTGTATCTTTTCATCCTTAATTACTTGTTTATGTTAGATTAGTGTTTGTTTCATGTTCTTAGTTGTTAATTCCTTTAGTTTTGCAATTTATTATGATTTGTGAGTAGTTCTTTTACTTGGGATTGTTGAAATCATTGATGAATTCACAAATACTTGTTTGTATGTGTTGATTTAGCTAATGTGGGATGTTAATTAGTTGAGCTTAAGTGGTTTCATTGTTAGTTCTTGTAAGTGGCCATTGCTAGAACTATTTATCTAAGCTTTCTCAACGAAGGATCGAGAGATGAACTTGAGTTAGCTCCCTTATGCTTGATTGACCCGAAATGCCATGAGAATAGGAATTTCCGATCAAGGGAATGTTTATGTCATCGTGATTATGCTTTAACACTTGTTTTATGCTTTGTAACCACGAGAGTAGGTTGTATTCATGATTCAAGTAATCCCTCTAGCTTGAGAGAGTAGTTGGGTGCCTTAGATGACTTCCCCTAATTTTATCCCCAAATTGCTATGTCTTGTATGTTAAATTGTAGTTTGTGAACGACTTAATTGGTGGATACCTTCCCGAGATCCTCTTTATTATTGTTTGTAGTTTTTCTTCATAACTCATAACCCAAAAAGACTTGACTTAGCTTATCACAAATCGATATTTGTTAGTGCTCCCCTTAGTCCTTGTGGGATCGACCCTTACTTACCCTTTCTACCCATTAGAGAGACCAAGTTAGGTTTTTATCTTTGGTAGGCTCGACGACGGCCTATCAATATTGTGTATTTTTGGGTGATAATTTGATTTCTTAGTCATCAAAACGTCAAGCTACTCTTTCGAAATCTAGTGCTGAGGCAGAGTACAGGGGTGTGGCCAATGTAGTTTCCGAATCATGTTGGATTCGTAATCTACTTTTAGAGTTACGTTGTCCGATTAAAAAGGTGACCTTGGTATATTGCGATAATGTAAGTGCTATTTATCTTTTTGGCAATCCCGTACACCATCAACGTACCAAGCATATCGAGATGGACATACTCTTCGTCCGAGAGAAGGTGGCACATGGTGAGGTTCGTGTCCTCCATGTTCCGTCTAGGCACCAGATTGCAGATATTCTTACAAAAGGACTCCCTCGTGTGCTTTTCAAGGATTTTAGAGATAGTCTAAGCGTCCGACAACCTCCCGCTTTGACTAAGGGGGTGTGTTAAGATATATATGTAAATATTATGATAAGTCAAAATGTATAATTAGTTCCCTTGTTTGTAGCCTAGATTAGGGGATTTGATATCTCTTATATATTGTATATATATCCTGTTAAGCAATGGGAAAGACTCACAGAAAACAATTCCTTCACTAACCTTCTCCTTCTTGCAGGTCGAGCCCTCAGACGTACTTGCAAGGCGAAGCTCAGTGACTTTTGGACAATTGGACTTAGACTTTAGGACATCTTGATAACGAAATACCCTAACACTTTCAGGAGAAGTTTGTTCCCAAAAACACTTTTAAATTTCTTTTAAACAAGGAAATTAAGTTGTTAATTTGATACTTTACATTCATTATCTAACTATAAAATTGTTAACTCCTCGCCTCATCATAAATTTTGGCAAATCAAAGTTTGAATTTCAGGATGAGCTAGTGTATGCGAACATTCAATTATAAACTAGGTGTGGACAAAAACTTTTTAATAAGGGTGGGGAGGCTTGATGGAAGAGTGTGTAAGTTCTCGCTCAAATCAATAGGCAAATACTTCAAGCATTGATTATGCGATATATAGGTAGAAAAAAGAAAAGAAGAAAAAAGAGAAAGAATAGTAGGTAACACTCACCATGTTTTCATTTTTTTTTTTTTTTTTTTTTTTTTTTTCTATTTACTAAATTGTCACTGCTTATTGATACCAAATTGATTAAGTTCTATACCAAATTGTATTCTGAATATAGTTGGCTAAAAATTGGGCGGTTTCTTCCCAAACTTGTATCTAAGTAAGCAAATAGGAACTACCTTAGCCTCTAGTTGATGGGCTTTGACATGAATCAACAGACCGAGAGAACCACTTGAATTTTAACAAGTACTCGTGAACACACATTATGCAAATAATTGCGGGTTTATATAACCTTGTAAAGTTGTATATAGACTTATAGAGCACCAAAAAATGAGTAACTTAAGCCAATATGGATTTGGGTAAAAGCCCATTTATATATGGGAGGCCCATAGTTATACGGCCTTTCCTCGATGGTAACTAGGAATAAGGCAATGGACTTTAATTTGCATCCAAGTTCCAACTCCTAATATTTTTTTTCTCTACCTTTTAGACCTTAACCACTATGGTCAGTATTAACTATTAATACATTCAATTGTTAGAAAACTATCCTACAAAAATAAAATAAAATAATAAATAATAATTTTTATTTTATTTTTCATATGGTAAATGGGATTCCTCTAGCTTAGGTCTTCAATAAATTAATAAACAATTATTTTTTAATTTCGACCAACATAACGATCCTTATACGAGTAATAGATCAATATGACATAATTTGACAAAATTAGCCTTGTTTTTAACATTCATGTCATCTCAATACATCCTCATCTGTAACACTGCCACTTATTAAGTAATACTGCAATATATTAGAATAATTCAATCATAAACCATCACTACTTTATTTCCAAACGGGCTATACAAGTGATCATATAGATATATACTATTATACTTATATTTTTTATTATAGACTTTATAGTAAGTTTGAATGTAACGTGCATAGTTGGATCAACAAAAATACTAAATCAACAAAAATACTAAAAAATGATCATAAAATTAACTTTGTAATTATGTAAAAGAGACCTTTACCCTACAAACACACCATGGCAATAATAATGAAGACTACACTACAAATCATGTAACGGCCACTTTTAGTACATAACCAGCTAATTCTAACCATTTTTCCACTAGGTGTTTCTCTCGTTACCTTTCGGCGTTATTCCTCACTCTATATATATAACTTTGTCTTTCCATTTATATAAATTCCATAATCTTACTAATTCATGATAAATCATCATTCATTAAAACATTATCTTCATTAATTAAGCATGAAAATCTCATCATTTAAGCTACTAATCATGCTTAAGTTACTTGTTGTGAGTGTACTTGCTTTCACTAGTAGTGCTCATGCAAGCAACTTCAATACAGTGTTTGAAAGGACTTTTGGTGATCATAGAGTTCGGACATTTGGCCAAGGTGATCAATCCCTTTCCCTCTCCTTGGATAAATATTCCGGATCCGGGTTTCGGTCCAAGAAGGAGTATGTGTTCGGAAGGTTCGACATGCAATTGAAACTTGTTCCCGGCGATTCTGCTGGCACTGTTACTACTCTTTATGTAAGCATTCATTCTTGTATGATTTTTTTAATTTTTTTTATAATTATTAATTTTTTTTTTTTTTATATAGCTCATTGTTGTATTAGCAACCTGTTCATACATTATCAAATTATACATATACATCACACTAATTATAACATTTATAACTTAAAAGTGTACGTTAAATTTTACTGATTATGGTATGAATTGTGTCGTATGTAGTTGTCATCTGATCAAACCACGGGTACACACGATGAAATCGATTTCGAGTTCTTGGGGAATGTAAGCGGACAACCTTACACTCTCCACACCAATGTGTTTAGCCAAGGGAAAGGAAATAGGGAGCAGCAATTCCATCTTTGGTTTGATCCCACCAAGAACTTCCACACTTACTCCATCGTTTGGAACTCAAAACTCATCATGTAAGCTATATAAAACACATGAACTACCAAATATAATCTTGCTATAATTGGCATAATATATACCATATCTAAATTTTGTATACATTTTTTTGCTAAGTACGTAAAATTGAAGTGTCTAATTTTGAAACAAATGTATCACGTACATGAAGTGATTTTTCTATTATTTAGACGGTTTAAGTATTGAGAGACATATTATAAAATAAAAATTTAAACATTATTTTTCTGATCCAGCTAGTAGGTGTGCTCATTTAGACATAGTCATATCACTTATATGCGTGCATGACATTATTATGTTACTTTTGTATTGTACTCACATGTCTTATAAAAATATGTAACAAATACTTCTTAAATTATATATACTTCCTAAACAAATATGTAGTAATATTTAGGGTTTAACCAATTTTCTTTAAATCATATATATATGATAACTTACAAATTTCTTAAATTTAATTTGAACTTTTTAGGTTTTTGGTTGATGAAACACCATTAAGAGTATTCAAAAACCACGAGGATATTGGAGTTCCATTCCCAAAGAACCAACCCATGAGGATGTTTTCTAGCCTATGGAACGCCGATGATTGGGCTACCCAAGGTGGTTTGGTTAAGACAGATTGGTCCAAGGCTCCCTTCACGGCCTACTATCGCAACTTCAACATCGACAGTGCTACCCCTAGAGCGGCCGCTACGATGTCGACTAATGGGAAAACGACACTTGGTGCATGGAGAACTCATGATCTCAATGCATGGGGTAGAAGAAGATTGAGATGGGTTCAAAAATACTTTATGATTTATGATTATTGTGCAGATATGAAACGTTTCTCTCAAGGTTATCCTGCTGAATGCAAGCATTCACGGATTTAGATTAGCAAAGAGCTAATATGAGGTTCGTTTTGGTGATTGGGCAATGGTATTACCTTTGTCCGAAATTAAAATATTGCTTTAATAATTCAAATTTAACTATTAAAGTGACGATTTATTTGAAGTAATATAGTATATAATGTGTGATCAATGTTGCATTACTTTCTATTCATCAAATGAAATAAATTATAATTATTCTTTTAATAAATGTGTTGTCTTCATGTATGTAGCTAGTTTTAAAAATTCCGTGGCTTTCCTAGCAGGGTATTTTCATTGGTAAGATTTATGAAGTATAACTTTATCAACTTTTTGACTTCCTTACTTTGAAGCATAGTCCCTAAAATACTAAAATTTAAGAAAGAATTTATGAAAACTAATATACTTGTATACACTGACTAATTTATATTACACACATTACATTAATAATAATCTTTTATATATGACTCTAGGTCAACAAGTTAACGGTGAGTCGTGATTTGTCAAGTCAACGAGGCAATTTTTTTTATTTTTTTTATATTTTTACGGGGGGTGTCCCTCCTATCACAGAAGGGGTGGGGTGAGGGTCAAAACTCAAGTCACTTATGGGGGAGATGAAGGGACAAACCGTCCCTGCACTCCATGATCCTCGAGTCAACGAGGTAATTGCATGCACGTAAAGATTACTATTTTAGTTATTAATGAAATAATATATATTAATGAAAATTTATTTTATGAGTAGTTTAGCTGAAGACCTATATATAGTCCTAATGAAGGTTTGGTAGATGACTTTAGTCAATTCTTAAACTTCAGTCAACCAGCTGCTTCAATTGTAAATAAAGTGTCGGAGTCTTAGATACCTAATAGGTTGCGTTATCTCATAGCCTTATAGGGTAGTTACCCCAAAATTTAATATTATTATCGAGTTACAATACTATTTTCGTTTTACAACGATAATAATATCTTGGTATTTTAAAATTATACAAGTATAACAAAACACACACACCAATCAAAACTTAATATTAATATTAATGATTATTTTCAGTACATACAAAACCATTGTCAATTTATGTGGATGGATAACGTCAATGAATTGATGCAATTAAATAAATAAAGAATAAAATTTCTGATCCGAACTAAAAACCTATATTGATCTACGAGTGATACGGAAAAATGATAGTTCTATTATTGTACATATAATATAATTTTAATGCTTGATCATGAAGAAATAATCCAAAGATGACAGAATAGACACCATGTGAATTGATGAAGATGCAAATAAAATAAATAATATATAAAGAGACAAAATGGATTTGCAAGGTTAAGAATGAATTATGAATTGGGATTATACAACATAGCTCACATGGTTCGTCTAGGATACCTCATATAGTCATAGAGATGCAATTGGTGACTTTATTCAAGAATATTTGACTCATGCAATGCATCATAACATCGCATGCTTTAAAGAGTTGCATGTTAGCCTTGATTTATTAGAGTTGCATGTTAGCCTTGATTTATTGCTATGCTTTTCGAGGTCAATCTTACTTTCCACATTTTCTGCCAAAGAATCCGACTTGTAGTATATGAGATTTGCGACATTGCTACATACAAGTAGATAAACAGGCCCGTTATCAGGACTCTCCCGTTCCTAATTGATTGTCTTTTTTTTTTTAGGAAAATTGATTGTCTTATTTGATATATCAATAGATTGCGGTGTTTATGAAATTCAATACAAAAATAATATATAGAATTGTAATTTTCAAATAAGTAATACTCTGTATAATTTTATACTTAGTTGTATTGTTTTGACTTTCACTCATGCTAATACATTAGGAGTGACTTATATCGGATAAATTTCTTGTAATAACTAATAAAGCCGTTCCTATTTTATCTATAAAATTTATGTAATTTTTTTTTTTTTTTTTTTGGCATTGTATGTATAGATATTAATTGTTACGAAAACAAAAAGTAGATGTGAATATGTAAAGGGGTACACGTACGCTATAAGATGGATTGATAGAGGGAGTAAAATAAAGTACTTTAAAATTAAAGTGTTGCATTGCATTCTATTCCCATTATTATCTATTTGTAATAGAAAATACTCTTTTTATATAAGATATACATAATAATAAAAAATAAAAAAAAAAAAATTCAAGAAGATAAGAGATTGGATATAATTATAATTTACCAAGCCTTAACAAAATTTAACTCTTACCAGTTTATGATCTTTCATTTCACTTGAAAAACCCTTTCTATGTGCATGCATGATGGTTAATTAATAAGGAACATAAGAATATAGGCTCTGTCAAAATAAGAATAAAAAAATTTGTATATGTATAGCGGATAATAAAAGTCATTAATAAAAGATTTTCATTATCTTTAACTTCAAAAGTAATTTAAACTCTTTCTCGAGAGATGACTTGTGGTATAGATATTTTTTTAAATATGGCCCAAAAAGCTAAGCATATACTTTATGTTTCTCAAACACTACAATTAATTTGTACAGAGTAATAAAATAAGAAAATTTTGATTTTTAAAACAACAATAACAAGTGTCTAACTTTACTATATTTGCATCAATTGGTCAATGCAAATTCCTCTGTTTCAACAACTTAGGCAAAATCAAACAAGTATGGCCCAATTCTTGACTTTCCATATAATCGATGCATATAGAAGAATATAATTATTATTTTTTATTATAAGAATTGAAAATACAAGAACAAATTTGAGTTAAATTCATATGGAATTACAATAGTCTAGTGTATAATAATAGAAAAGTAACAATAGTGACAATGATAAATTGTTAATAATAATAATAATGATAATCCTTTTCAACCCTTCTAATTAAACTTGGCATGCTTGCATTCAGGAGGGAAACTTGAAGTAAATCGCTTCCAATCTGTGCAATAATTGTAGATCATGTAATTCTTCTGAACCCATCTCAATCTCTTCCTGGATTGCGCATTAAGATCATGGTTTCTATATGCTCCATTTGGTGAGGTATCGATGTTGAAGTTGCGATAATGGGCTACAAAGGGTGCCTTAGTCCAATCTATCTTCTCCAATCCACCTCGTGTTGCCCAATCGTCGGCTTCCCAAAGACTAGCATGGATTTTCTGGGGTTGGCGCTTTGGGAAGAATGTAATTCCGTGATTCTCATAGTTCCTGAATACTCTTAAAGGTGTTTCATCTACCAAGAACCTGCATTCAAATGTAAAAATTAATTAAGACGTGTTTTTGTTATCGTCTAAGCACTTTGTCTAGGTTATCTTGAAATACACTTGTACGTATTTATAAAGTATGTTTAAGGCCGAGCTAGTGACCTAGCACTTTGTCTAGGCAATCTCGAGATGATATGCATATATTAGATACGAGGGACCCTCTTATCACAAAAGGGGGGGTGTAAGGATCAAACCCCCCTACTCAGGGGAAGATAGAGGAACTAATCATTCTTTCACTCCTTAATCCTCATATACATATATTACCACGATTAATTGTACACAAGTATATTTTATTTTACATTTTTATATTATCAAAGATTATTAGATCTCATTGGCAATGACACATCTATAAATAAAGTAAACAAACAATTTCATGTGTCTTATATTAATATGACTTACATGATGAGTTTTGGGTTCCAAACAATAGAATAGGTATGGAAGGCCTTAGATGGGTCAAACCAAAGGTGGAACTGTTGCTCCCTGCTTCCTTGCCCTTGGCTAAACACATTGGTATGGATTGTGTAAGGCTGGCCGGACACATTCCCTAAGAACTCGAAATCGATCTCATCGTGTCTTCCAGTGCTTTGATCAGATGTCAACTGCAAATAATAACAATGCCAAGAATAATGAACAAATTAATTAAATCATCGACCATCAATATAAATAAAGTGACGGGTATTTTAAGTGATAGATAATATGAAATAAGGATTACAATCTAGACGACTAGACAATATAACAAGTAAAACGGACTTACATAAAGAGTAGTGACGGTACCAGCAGAGTTACCCTCAACAAATTTCATTTGCATATCTAACCTACCATACAAGTACTCCCTCTTAGACCGGAACCCGGATCCCGAATACTGGTCTAAGGAGAGTGACAAGTCCCGGCCAGCCATATTGACCCTATGATCACCAAATGTGGGTTCAAACTCGTCGCGAAAGTTGCCTCCTACACCATAAACCGTAGAGCTTACCATAAGAGCAACAACAACAACAATAAGCATCTTTTCATGGCCCATTAATGTAATTCCCATGGTTATGGACTTTTCCCTAGAAGGGAAAATGACTAAATATGAAGAACTAAAAGAAGTGATAATTTGAGAGATTATATAGTAGTTGTGTGAAGAATATGGTATACAGGGGTATGTATATATATATATATATATATATATATATATATATATATATATATATATATAGGGTGAATATAATAGTTTGGACCGTTAGTTATAAAAATTAGAAAAATTCTTGTAAACCGTTAATAGATCACATGGAAGGTGACGCGATAGTAGTTTCCTAGGTGAGTGTAACGCGGAGAGCATCAGAAGCGTTACCAACTGTAGATTTGCTGTGGGCATTGGTTGTCCAATTCTTTATTTGGCTGTCTTCATCATCTAGCTCTTTCAAAATAAATTTTTGAAAAAACTATTTACGGTGTACTGAATTTTTGTAGATTATTTAACAATAATGTGTAATAAATAAAGTATGCACAAGTTATCTCTTTGTTACTTTACTGAAATGAATGTCTTATCCAAATTATCCTAGCATTTCGTGTGATTTCTAATATTTACAACTACCTTTAATTTGATTATTAATATTATTACTATGTATTTGTGTTTAGAAAATAAACATCAAACAAAATTAATCAACAAGATCCCACAAGATGGTGTTAGCAGTATATAAATTGCTACTACGATTAATATTTTTAAAGTTTGATCACAAGACATAGCACAGAGTCAAAACAAAGAATCAAGGGAGTATGTAACATGGTCTACCTTTATCTTAACATCTATTCCATGTTTCCCTCCTTTTTATTAGATCAATTATTTCATCTCACAATTATTATATAGCAAATTTAATTCAAGAAAGGCATACTCTATTATTTATGCGCATAATGTTGACTATGCACCAAAATAAAAACACATTCATGAAATATTTCTTTTATTTCATATCAATTGTGAAAAAATAAAATAACATTTCTCCTTCGTTTATTCATAATGACATTTCTTTACATATGCAGCTACGTCTTTGCGAAAACACAATAAGTATTTCACATATATATGCTCATACTCCAAGCTCAAAATCCTTGTAAAAAAATAATAATTTCAGAATTAACATTGGAAATTGAAGGTGCTAAATTACAAAATAGAAATTCATATCGTAAATTGATAATAAATGGTAGTGTAATAAAATATCGATAATATAGTTGGTTTTGACAAATGTTTGTCTTGGTCCAGTTGGTCGGTGACCTTATACTAGTTTACGGTCCAATTATCCTAGAAGTGTTGTTGATATCTGAAATTCATGTGAAGGTGTCCTAAGTTTTCAAGCACCGAAATATGGTCCATTATTTCACAATATATTACGCCACATACTGTATTTGTTTCCTAGTGTTTGAAATTTACTCCTTTGAAGCTTCAGTAATTGACGTTAAGTTAGTTGAATTGAGACTCACTTTTTTGACACCTTATTGTCTTGCTGTTTATTTATTACAATAATCTATCTTAGGCCGTAATTCACGGCTACAAATACACAATCTATAGCTTTATTTTCTTGTCTAATTGCTACAGAGTAGTTAATGTTACATTGATTTATGCACTTACTCCGTGTTATATATGCTTATCGAGTAATATTTGATCTAGTGAAAAAGTTAGTACTCATATCTGCTTACCATCGAGAGATTGAGGGATCAAAACTCACGGAGGTATTTTGAGGCGGGGATTCTTTTTGCTCTTCCCCCTTCACCCCTATTCCCAAAATGACCTAATTCGATAATTCAAACCGAGTTAACATGTGATTACAATCTAATAAAACCCTTCTTCTTACATACCAAAATACTACGTACACTCGCTTCCAACTTCCATGCAAGGTGAATGAATGTAGAAAAAAGGGAATATAGAGTCAATAGAGATACAAACGGGTACTTATAAGAAAAAATGCAAATAGGATAGATGGTGAATTTGGAATGTGTACAAATTATGGGGTAATGAAGGTTGATGTGATTGGTAAAAATAAAACACTTTTTTCCTAATTTGGGAACTGAGCTATATTGTATCATGATTTAAAACTTATACTTTCTCTATTCCACAAATATTGCAATAAGGATAAAATTACGCATATCAAAACACATTTTATATGTTAAATATCCATAATTATATAAGAGTAAAAATTATAAAAAGTTGAAACTGTGAAAATATTTTACGAGACGAATCTAACAAGACCCCACATGACTATATTTTACTTTATGTATAAATCATAATATATGGTCAAATAAGCATAATAAATAATGCAAAAGTCCAGTTGTTGCAATATTATTACTAGAACGAAAGAAGTATATTTCTTAAAAAATTTATAAAATAATTAAGATAAATAGAATAAGGCCCCTTGTTTTTCTAAAATGATAGAAAATAATTGTCGAGGGAAAGAAAAAACTCTTACTATTACCAAATATCCTTATGGTTGCCACTCTAATAATACCAGAGAATACAAGTTTATATAGTGATTTCAATATAATGATAAACAAATTTTGTTTATCAAATTTTATTAATATAAGTGCAGACTTCATAGTTAATGTTGATTGGATAAAATTGTTGATTTATCTATAAAAATGTCATTTGATAAACAAAATAATTTGATAAACTAGGACAAGCTCAAATAATACTCTCCCCGGTTTTTTTTTTCCTTTCCATTAATAGAATTTTTTATCGACAAAAAATCAATAGTAGACCTAGTAGTTAGAGCAAACAAGATACATTAAATTTTCACTTACAGACCTGCAAAAACATTGAACATATACGGAGTATATAGCACCACACAAATAAGATTGCATTAAAAATAGAAGAAAAAGATTTGAAGATGAAGATTGCTAAGAAAATCTGGTTCAGTTCTTTTATACATGGTTGGTTTGTATTAAAAGCATATGCATCAGCATGACTGCCAAATTCAACAAACTAGGCAATATTATTTTAGAGTTGGTTCTTGGTTTGTCTATGGCTGAATATTACGGATCCGATTTAGGGGTGATAATTGAGCGAGCTAAGAATTGCTCAAAACGGGCTGATAGATATTATAGTCATGATAATATTTGTCGCAGGTTAGAATAATATTTGTATATAGTTTGTATCCTTATCATACTAGGTTTCCTAACGTTTTGGCTTCAAAGGGTCCTTTCCTAATGTGATTAAGATTAGTCTTGTAAAAACTCTATATATATTGATCAATGGTACACACTCCAGATTGAATAGTTTTCCCGAAATCTAACATGGTATCACAACTTTAGGTTATCGATCCTAAGAATTCCTTTTCTTTTTTACAGCTTTCACGCTTCCGTACAATAACCAAATCACCGCCCACCTTCCATGGCCAAAGACGGCGATACCCCGCCACCTCCTCCACCGGCTAACGAACTTCATCCGACTCTCGCCGTTAATAATATCAAAAATGTGATTCCTCTCACCCTAGATTATGAGAATGTGCAATATTCCAATTGGGTTGAATTGTTTGAGAACCATGTATGTGCCTACAACGTTCTTGATCATATTGACCTTAAAACACCACGCCCTTCCGAGATCTCTGAATCTCTTTGGACAAGATTAGATGCCATTGTCAAGCAATGGATCTATGGAACTATATCTATCGATCTTCTCACCACTATTCTATCCTGGAAGGCCACCGCTTAACAAATCTGGGATCGCCTCAAGGATATTTTTCAAGATAATAAGATCACAAGGGCGGTGTACTTTGAAAACCAATTCAATGCTCTTCATCTTGATAATTTTCCCAATGTCACTGCTTATTGCCAGCACCTAAAGAGCATCTCCGATCAGCTCGCCAATGTCGATCAGCCCGTCTCCGATCAAAAATTGGTCCTACGTCTTGTTGCCGATTTGAAGACACCCGCCGGAACAAAGACTCAATGGCTTCTCCGGTGTCGTTCGTAGCCCAACAACAGTCCTCGCCATCTGCTTCGGACTCCACACAGCAGCAGCAGACCACCACCGGTGCCGTTAGAGGCGGTGGTGGCGGCGGACGAGGGCGTGGCGGCGGCGGAAAGGGCCGAGGCAGCAGTACTCCCGGTCGTAGCAGCTCCTCTGGTCAGCAACAAAGTACGCAACAATAACAACAACAAGAAGGATGGAAACCTCAGCAGCAGTCCAATCCTAATAGGCAAAATTGGCCCTCTCAGCCTCAATGGCCCAATTCCTACTTGCCATATTGGCCACAAGGCTGGGCGTTACTGCCAGCACCCTTTCCTACTTCTGGACAGTACCAACAGTGGCCCAACTTCAATTGTGGACCACCCCAGCAGGCTTACACAAAGGGGCCACCAACTATGGGCCTCCTATGACTCCCACGGAGTTTGGCAGTGCATATTCTTCCATGAATCTCTCAACTCCGGACAACGGATGGCACATGGACACTGGAGCTACGTCTCATATGATCAATAATGTCGTTACACTTCTACCCCTTTTTAATTTAAGTACTCATAATCATATTTTAGTTGGCAATGGTCATTGCATTCCAATTACCGGCTATGGTCATACCGCCCTCCCCAATAATAATTCCCTTAGCCTTAAAAATGTTCTACTTGCACCTTAAATTATTAAGAATCTAATTTCTGTCTAAAATTTACTTCTGATAATAAGGTGTCTATAGAATTTGACCCTAATGGTTTTACTGTGAAGGATCTTCGTACGGAGAGGGTAGTAACGAGATGCAATAGCATCGAGGAGCTCTATCCAGTCACTTCAAGTTCACCAAGCACTTGCCTAGCCACTACTCTCTCTGCAGTCACCCTGTGGAATGATCGATAAGGACATCGCGGGGCTTCTTCTTTAAGTTTTCTTAGGAGAAATAATTTTATTTCTTGTAATAAGGAGCATGACTCCCCTTTTTGCAATTCTTGTCAAATAGGGAAACATGTTAGACTTCCTTCTTATGATTCAAATAATAATACTTTCTGCTCTTGACATTATTCATGCCGATTTATGGACATCTTACATTCGAAGTATTATTGGTCACAAATACTATTTAGTACTTCCTGATGATTTTACTCATTATATGTGGGCCATACCTCTTGCCGATAAATCTCAAGCCTTCCAAACTTTTATTCACTTTAGACAATACGTGCAAACTCAATTTGAACGTCCTGTTAAATCATTCCAAAGTGGCCACGGTCGCGAAATTGATAATGATCCTTTCAAAAAGTTTTGCATCGAAAATGGTTTGGTCTTTAGATTCTCTTGTCCCCACACTTCATCCCAAAATGGAAAAGCCGAACGTATGATTCGAACCATAAATAATGTCAAACGCACCCTATTATTTCATGCCTCATTGCCCCCTTCCTATTGGTCACATGCTCTTGAGACGACCATATACCTTCTTAATATTTTACCAACAAAATCACTTAAGCAATTAGCCCCGGCTCATGCTCTTTTTCGTAAAAACCCATCATACCACATACGGGCTTTTGGTTGTCTTTGTTTCCCTAACCTTTCGGCCATTGCTCCTAACAAACTTGCTCCTTGATCTACTCCTTGTGTCTTTTTAGGGTACCCCTCTAATCACCGTGGCAACAAATGCCTTGACCTCGCTACTCGCAAAGTCATCATTTCACGCCACGTAACGTTTGACGAGTCCTCCTTTCCCTTTATGAACTTGGAAAATTACACATTAAAAGATTATGATTTTTTGGGTATTGATGAGTGCACCCCTCTTCTGACTCACATGCTCATGCGCCATCATGGCTCTCAAGCCAACCCACATCAAGGCCCAACTACAATTAGCCTAAATGCTGAAAATCATACCCACAAAACCCCGCCTACCTCCCCTGCCCAGCAGTCCACTCCGCGACCTCCCCGCGGCTCACCAGCCAACAGTGCGACCACCCCGCTACCCATCATGCCCTCACCGCACCCTACCAGCAACCCTGCCTTGCCACTTCCAGCTTACTCCGCGCCACCTATGCTTGGCGTGCCAGCCATACAACCAACCAAGTGTAACACCCTGGAAATTTTCCCCTTTTGAAATACTTGTTTTGCCCTTTTTAAATACAAAATAGGAAATAGCCAAGGCATTATCGTCACCGTGATAACGGCTAAGACATTTATCAAAGATACGCGACGGAAGACATTTTTAAAACCTTTCAAAACAAAGTCAAAGTCCAATAGTTCACCAAGCAAAAGTAAAAAGTCAAACTAAAGTCAAACCTACAACTTGGAACCATTATAGGCCCTTTCAAAACCAAACGAATATTTAAAAGTGACGTGTTAGTCTCATTAAACAATAACAATAAACCAATAATCAATAGTAAACACATATTTAAGATAAAACTAGAGTAAGATTCACTCTTCGCCCAAACCCCCAACATGAATATTGTGCAACACCTGAAAAGCTTCTCTTTAACTGTCCCTACTACTCACCATAAGAAATGGGTCGTCATAGGGCCAAGATAAAGACAAGGCCAAATACACACAAAACACAACAATCAGCATTGCTGAGTACATAAGCGTAATCAAAACACACTAACATGCATACAACCTAGCATTAATTAACTTACCTTTAGCCTTGAGTTCAGCATTCACACCAACAACACAAATCATAAATCAAATTTGATTATTTATTTAGTTTGATTACTCATCGAACGGATTTCCCCCCTACCTGCCTCAATAAAAGGGTACTAACACGGGAGCTAACCGTGCCAGTATAAAAGAACTACTCGTAAGTGGTGGAATTCCTGCGCATAATAAAAAGGAAAGTACAACGTTCGATACCCCCAGTAGAAGTTATGGTTAATATAAAACCCCATAACTCCCCCCATATGTTCATACTCAAGGTATATACGTACCGTTCCAAGAGTGCGTAACCTCTTTCACTTTACGTTATTTACATATTTTAAACTTGGTGATAACTCTCAAACCATAAAAGAACCAACATACATAATTCATTCAAGCAATCAAATAAACCAATTTAATTCTTGAATAATCAGTGACCACATTTAATTTAATGTTGAGCCCTTTTAAAACTACCTCGATGTAGAAACACCTTAAGCGCATAATGCACTGTAAATCCTATCCCTCGTTGTTTAGAACACCTTAAGTGCACGTGGGCACCTCAAATCCTATCTCTCGGTATATAAACAACTTAAGTACACTTAGGCACCAAAATATAAATTAAACCTCATGTACATAGACACTTAATTAGCTCCTTGTAGACACCTGATTGTGTCTCCCCAAAAACCAAACCCAGTGATGAGTACTTTTCACATCTTTGATTATCGATTTAGGTAAAGAGTTGAAGATTCTCGTGAATTCCCTTTAGCCTTGCCTATTTCCTAGCCTTTCTTTAAATGTTTTAAACCAAAATCATTCATTTTGTGTCTTTAAAAATCATTCATTTCGTGTTCTCTTTATAAAAACGTCCAAACCAGCTTATTTTGATCCATAATCTTGGTCCAATTATTATGTATTTGGATAGGGCTTGAAAGAGCTTTCCAAGGATATATTATAAGCCCAAAACCGACTTATAAGGAAGAAGTTATGGCCAAAAAATACTAAATCGAGCCCGAATTAAGCCTTACCTACGACCCAATGATCATGTGAAGGGTCCATTAACCTTAACCTCATTCTTAAACCAATTAGGATTTATTACAAGCTTCTAAAATCATCTAGGAGGTTCTAATTTATCCTGTTTTTGAAAAGATAAAGATTTAAGAATTTTACATTAGGTAAAACATTTGTTTTTCAATGATCCTAATCTCGGTCAAATTAGAATATGTACGGAGATTTGATTAACCCAATTCGATTGGAAATCGGATTCGCACGAATTCAATCTTTCCAAAACCATCGTTGAGCGACAACACCATCGCGCCGCGACAAGGCTGTTGCGCAGCGACAAAGTTGTCGCGCCGCGATGGAACCTGTTTTACTTTGATTTGATTTCTGACTCTTTTCTGATCCTTCTACCCTCTTTTTTCCTTATAAATAGAGGTCGTTTCACCCCATTTTCAATCATAACAAGTTTGAGCAATACCAATCACTAAGAATCATCATCTAATCCCTTCTCTCATACTTTCTCTCTCTCTTTCTTGGTTCTTTTCTTAGCCTACCCTAAACACGTCCTAATACATTCTTGATATTTTTCCCTAATCAAACTCCATACCTCCATCACGAGTTTCAAATACTCCTTGCCCTTCTCGACGTTGCCTTCGACCTTGACGTGAAAGGTTGATAGTTCTGAGGGTTTGGTCCCAAATCTCTACTTCAATTCTTATTTGATTTACTTATTTATTTGATTTAATATTTCTTGAAGTTACTAACGTGTGTATTGTTTTGATTAGAAAGAAGTACGAAGCATCAAAGTGAGTGATTTGATTACTTAATTATTATTTTTGATTCCTAGAAATCATGCTTAGAATATTATGTTAATTATTAGTATCATGTTATGATGTTGTTTTTAATTCTTAGTATCATGTTTAGGGTGTTAATTAATATTTCTAATGTCATGCTTTCTAGTATCATGTTTAGGCTAATGTTTTGATTATGACTTTTATTAGTGACATGCTAGGATTTGTTATTAATCCGTTTAGTATTATGTCTAGGATCTTGCTAACGATGTTTTGATGGTATTATTATGATTATGATTGTTGTGTCAATTATACATTGCTTGATTATTCATAGTTGATTGTTATTGCTTGATCACGCCCTTTCTTGTAGGTTCAAAGGAGATTTGTACTTGAAATCACGTCTAATAAGATAATTAATAATTAGATTTTGGTTAATATGATTTTAATTCAAATGATCACCAATGATAGATTTATTTGTGCATTAATAATCAACCAACGTAGATTAAATATGCTTAGGGCTAATTTGATGTATGTATAATGATCGGGAAAGCGCACATGAATATCATAAGAATTAAGTAGAGGCCGATTTAGGGCGGGTTCAATCTCTTTTAGGTTGCATTCGTACCGTCATCCCCGAATATCCAGTCATGGTTGCGGACCACTATGGAGTTAGCGATCTCCGTGATAATGAATGGGGTGTAACATTCACACCTGTGAACGGTTTACAAGTTCCTAAAACTTGTTGACGACTCTTTTATCTCTAGCTTCCTTCCCTTTGGACGCCACCAAGCCTAAAAGCATGATCATAGTGGGGCTCAAAAAGTTGAGTTTTGAAAAATTCCCTACACTACTTTACCATGCTTATAGCATCAATAAAAATTATATGAATCATAATAAAATTCTCTTTCAATACTCCAAACTCAATTAAACATTTAGTTTAATTTAACATGCTCTCAATCATGCCAATAATACAAGTATGGTTCATAATCAACATGCAAACATAATTAATTCCAATCAATAATTCACCTCAAATAATTCATACGTCACAAATCAATCACCAAATCAATCCCAACAATTCCAACCAATACCTATCATGATGCTACCTTGGAATTAATTAAACAAAACCTAGTATGCTTCTACACACTTAAATAATTACCGAATACACGAACGCACCTCAATTAAGCCCTTAAAGTGGCCGAATACACGAACGTACCTCAATTAAGCCCTTAAAGTGGCCGAATACACTACAACACTTCTCGAACCAAGTCTCCTACATAAAAGGACAATAACCCTATATTAATTACCCTAGTATACACCATTTCCAGCAACTTAAACTCAATTTAAGTCACTCAAAATAATCTGAAAATTATTTAAAAACCCTTAATTAAACTCCTCTTTAATGGGTAATTACACCCTTTTCATAAAACACCAAAAATAGTATTTTAGGCAAAATTCAAGCATTATAGATTAATTAAAAACCCTTCAAAACTTCATCAAAACATCACTTTTATGCTTAATTAATCCATAGAATCACTAGATACACTAGTAGAAAAATTGCTATTTGTAACCCTCTATTTGTAACTTGCTTAATTTACGATAGTTACAACAAGAGTATTAGTAACTGACATGGATAGTGATGGTTACAAATAAAATAGTATTAGTAACCGGCATAACAAAGGTCAGTTACAAGTAGTAGGTCAATGATAGGCCGACCAACTACTACTACTTAAAATAAAGAAGGCCACAGTTACAAATAATAAGTCAAACATTATTGACCATATTACTTGTAATGGACTTTATTTAGGCCGGTTACTAATTTCACTTCTTTTTTTTCTTTTGGGAAATTAGTACAGAAGCTTATTCATCAAGAATTCCGTAAGGTATTCTCTCGATCTCCTCCTAATTTATGAATTTTTGATTAATTATAGCGATTATTTGATAAAATAAAAGAACTAAAAAGATTTCTAGGGTTTGTTCTTTTGTTTGTTAATTTAATTTAATGGAAGTTTTGGGGTTTTATAACTATGAGTTGCAAACTCGGGTTTCAGAGTAATCTGGAATCAAAGAACATCCACTTTTGAGGATCTGGGTGGCGATAGTTTCGAGCGCAAGAGAGAAATTGATTTTTGTAATTTCTAAACCGATGTCTTGTTTTATAATTTGCAGGGCTGGAAGATTCGGTATAGCTTTTCAATTCTGGGAAAAATCTTTGATTGTGATATTGTGTGTTTGATTTTATACTTCTGTGAGAAATTTGACAATTATTTAATTATCACTATTTTAAGGGAAACAAAATTCAAAATAATTGGAAAATGCTCATGTTTTGTTAGAGAAATAATTATGAATTTAAGCTAGACTAATAATAATGTTCTTGTTCCTGTTTAGAGAAGAAACGTCGATCCATGACTGCTTTCGGAAAGGTCACCTTTTTCACACTGCAACATGATTCTGGAACTATCCAGGTTTTCTACTCTTCATTATTTTACTCGCTATTTCTGTAACAGCAAACAATTTGCATACTCAATTTTTTTTCTTCAATTCATTCAGCTTTATTGTGAAAAGGATATGCTTTCTCAACTTCAATTTGATCACTTAAACCCACTTGTTGATATTTGTTAATTCTCGTGGTGAGTATTCATTATCCAATAATATCGAAGTGGATTTTGATATGTTTGAGTTTTATTTTTTATTTTCCTTTTTATGTTTGAAATTTTATAGAAAATTGATTTCCTATTAGTTCTTGTGATTTCTGGTTGTAATTTTCATATATGATTTAGTGCATGTGACTGAAAACGTGAAGAATTTTGCATATACAGGTGGGGCATATGGTCATGGAATCAATAAAGCTATCGTCATTCGGTCATTGGTATTGAATCATCAGATTGCTTTAGTTGTGCTAATGGAGCAATTATACAGGCTAATGTATAGCCATTTTGTTAACTTAAGCTTGCTAGTTATGATCATTGTAAACATCTGACTTGATGTGTCTCCAATCTGGAGACACTAGCCAACTTGCACATTCCTGTGAGTAAGCTCGTCTTCCTTCTTTGTCTTTGCTTAACATCATTATCTATTAGTATTAAAGTCACAATCTCTTAAATTATTATCTAAATTGGATACTAGTATTATGAGAAACTAATGTCTACTGAATTGGATATTCTGTTTCTACACTACGTAAGATTAAGAATGGTGAGTGCCTCCTACATGTAAAATTCTCATTAGCTACTATGTACAATGCATAGTATCTAATTGCTATCTGTATGCTACTAATATAAAATGGGTTAAGTTATAACTATATACTCATTGTATGTCTGCTCTTAATATAATATGTGTTAATTTATCACTATTTGATCACTATACAGAAAACTTTTTTCCACCAAATAAGCGTTAGTTTGTTTTGTTATTTGATCACTATACAGAAAACTTTTTTCCACCAAATAAGCGTAGTGCATACTTGAACTCCTACACCTGCTCATGTGGAGAGGCAAAGAAATTGTGTTGTCGAGTGTAGAGATTAGTTGAAGCTATAGACAAATTGAACTTAAGTTTTCAGATTGGTCTGGTGATTGCATTGCACAAATTTCTTTTTCCTTATTGTCGCAGAAAAAACAATTTAGATTTATCAATATTAGTGTACAGCACGATTAATTTCTATCGACTAAAAGGCACAGAGATTATGAGTATGTACATTAAATTCCTAATACTGTATTGCTTTCCTCTGTTCTACACAGGAATTTCTTATAAAAAAATTTGGTACCTATTTTCCCTCTTGAATTAATAGAAAGTGATATGATGGTTTCATAGGATACTTTGTGCTCTATATCTTGAGATATTGAGGTTAGTCCCATCATTCTTCTTTTTTTTGTTTGATGGATAGATCCTATCATTTGGAGCATATACTTGTATAGTTTTATGTTGCATCTTTCTTATTTCAATAATTTTCTCTTACTGAGGTGAATCCTCTTGGGGTTAGGCTCTCAAATTCCTTATCATTGTAGCTCTTGGTAGAACTTATTATGTGTAGTCTTTATTGGATGCATCTGTGGAGTTCCCTCCCTCCCATCCAACTTGATTAATTTCATTTTATAGTTCCCTGCATTGGCCTTGTAATTTTTGAAGATTCAAAAAGTTGAGAAATCAATTTGTTTTTATTGTTGGAACTTTGCAAGATTTCCCGTGAGCTAAGATTCTTTGAGATTGGTCTATGAGGTAACCATTTAGCAGGTAGTCAATAATATTTCAAGCTTATTCTACCAGCACCTTCAAAAGGGTGAACAAGCTTACAAGTGGATGATTTCTACAAGACATTCTATATATTTTGTTTAGTTTATTATACATCTCTTATCAATCTATTCTTTTAGGATGACATGTCCTTTACAGTTGAAAATAATTTGAAGCAGACAGAATAAAATCGTCAAAATTTGAAGGTTGACCATTGTATCATTTAACTAACTAGCTTTTTTAGTTATATAGTATTATTTATTGTGAATTGTGAGAGACATATTTGTAATTACAGGTACATCAATTCAGTATTATTTTAGAGTTGATGTATATGTAGATGCTGCTTAAATTTGGCCTTATTAGATTGATAATCATTGTATTTTATAAAAGTTTGTTAATAATTTATGGTCTTCACATTGAAATAAATGTAGTGTACGGGTGGTGGCAATAGAGGAATTTGCTACTGCTTCCATTTTATTTATTTTTTTTAAAAAAACTATTCGTAATTGGCATTAAGCTATGCCAGTTACAAATAATACTCTATTTGTAATCGGCGTAACTTAACACCAGTTACGAATAGTATGCTTTCTAAATTTGAAAATAGACTATTTGTAACTGGCATTAGGTTAAGCCAATTACGAATAGTACATTATTAGTAACTAACATTAGCCAGTTACGAATTATTTTCACTAGTTGTAATGGTGGCAATAGCAATTAACAATGCCAGTTACTAAAAGTCAATTTCGTCAGTTACAAATAGCAGTTTTTCTACATATAAAAGCCCCAAATTAATTTATTTAAGAACCCTAAAAATCTAGTCTTTAATAAATTAAAATCCTAACTTGTAATTTTATGAAATCTGAAAAATTATAACCCTTCATGAAATCCGAATTTTATGATTATAAGAATTCAAAACATGATAATAAGACTAATTACACATGATTGGAACAATTAAAAATCAAAACCCATAATTGTAATAATCAAATAATTAAAGTAAAAGAGGAGGGAGGAGAAAAGAGAAGACCACGACGGGGTGGCTGGCGGCAGCAGCTCGGCGCCGACAGAAGGTGGTCGGGGAGTTTGCCGGCTGGTGGTCGCCGACTTCGACTGGATGATGTGGCACACATCAACAAGTGGAATTAGAATTCCACTCACAAAATCCCATTCATGGATTTTCACGGGAAGGTGGCCAAAAGAAAAGAAAGAAGAAAAGGGCAAAAAAAAATGAGGAAAAAGGAAAGAAAAGAAAAGGAAAAATAAGGAGAAAAGCTAACCTTTGACTTATTGACTTTTGGATGGGAAAATTTTGGGGATAAATGAAGTATTTATAGTGTAGAGTATGTTAGGATAGGTTTTGAGCATATAAGAATGATGGGCATGAGTGATAAAGTATGAGGCCCAAGTATATAAGTAAGATTATTGGGTTAATTAAATGGACATGGACTATATTTTTTTTGTGGAATATATATGCCAAATATATTTAACATATGATACTTCCATCAAGTCAAATTGTTTTGTAACCTTTGACCAAAAATAGAACTTAATTAATTTAAATCGCATAATTAAATAATTTGGCCCAAAATATATATATATATATATATATATAATACATTAAAAATACGGGGTATTACACCAGGCACCCCCTCCCTCCCCTAGAGTCACCCGTAGTAAAGGGGTATCTTCAAGCCTAACCCGAAATATTCTTTGAACTTGTCCGTCAATACCTCGGGTCCACCTCTTCCAAAGTCTTATAAACAAGTTTTAACTGACCATGATTGGAATGTGGCGATGTATGATGGGTATAGTGCTTTGATTAAAACAGGGACATGTGATTTGGTGTCTAGGCCTACGGGAGTGAATATTGTTAATTGTATATGGCTATTTAAACACAAATTCAAGTCTAATGGTGACCTTGAAAGGCACAAAGCTCGTCTTGTATGTGATGGCAGGTCGCGGGAAGTTGGTGTGGATTGTGATGAGACTTTCAGTCCGGTAGTTAAACCAGCCAGTGTTCGTACTGTTCTAAATTTAGCTATGGCTAAAAAGTGGTCGATTCATCAATTAGATGTCAAAAATGTCTTTCGACATGGTGATTTGCAGGAAACTGTTTATATGCATCAACCTCCAGGTTTTGTTGATCGGAGAGCACCCTCTTATGTATGTCGGCTCCGCAAGGCTCTCTATGGTTTGAAATAAACTCCCAGAGCTTGGTACCAGCACTTCGCGAACTTGCTGATCAAATTGGGTTTTGTCATTACCAAAAGTGACAACACTCTTTTTACTTTCTGGCAGGGTGATGATATGGCATATTTGCTTCTGTTGATGATATTATATTAGCTACCTTTTCTGACAGGTTGCGTGAGAGGATCATATCTCGGTTGCAAACTGAATTTCTTATGTCTGATTTGGGCCCTTTGAGTTAATTCTTGGGGATTGCGGTGACCTGTACTCCTTCTTATTCGCTACTTTCTCAGCAAAAGTATGCACACGAGATTTTAGAACGTGCAGGTATGGGCTCTTGTAAACCTAAAACTACTCTAGTTGACACTAGTTCTAAACTTAGTGCAAACGCAGGACCACCTTTTCGGGATCCTACTCTGTATCTCAGTCTGCAGGTGCTCTTCAGTATCTTACTTTCACCAGGACAAATATTACCTATGCGGTGCAACAGGTGTGTCTTTTTATGCATGATCCTAGGGAATCTCATTATGATGCTTTGAAGCACATTCTGCGCTATGTTCAGGGTACCATTGATCATGGTTTACATTTATATCCGTCTTCTTCTCATCATTTGATTACTTACACTGACGCTGACTAGGGAGGTTGTCCCGACACCCGTCATTCCACATCGGGTTATTGATGCTTTCTTAGGGACAACCTCGTTTCTTGGTCATCTAAGTGTCAACCTACTTTATCTGAATCGAGTGCAGAAGCAGAATATCGAGGCGTCGCAAATGTTGTCTCAGAGGCTTGTTGGCTTCGTAATCTTGTACTTGAGTTACATTGTCCTTTTCAACAGGCTACGATAGTATATTATGATAATGTTAGTGCTATCTATCTTTCTAGTAATCCGGTTCAACACTAATGCACCAAACATTTGGAGATGGGTATTCATTTTGTTCGAGAAAAGGTTGCTTTAGGACAAGTTCGAGTTCTACATGTTCCTTCCAAGTATCATTTTCTAGACATTTTCACGAAAGGCCTTCCTCGAGACTTATTTTTGGCTTTCAGATCTAGTCTTAGCGTACGTCTGTACGACCTCCTCGCGCTATGACTGCGAGGGTGTGATAGATATTATAATCATGATACTATTTGTCTCAGATTAGGATAATATTTGTATATAGCTTGTATCCTTATCGTACTGGGTTTCCTAACGTGATTAGGACTAGTCTTGTAAAAACTCTATATATATTAATCAATGGTACACACTCCACATTGAGGAGTTTTCCGAAATCTAACACATGCTTTTTACACTTTTATTCGACCCTGAATTGAGGCCCGAGTTATCTTTGTTAAGCCTAATTAAATTCCAAATTTCCAATCATAAATTACCATAAAACTCATTTTTTACCTTTTCACTAATTTTTGTTTAATTTTTTTTGGATTTTTCACCAAATACCATTGAGTTATTTTTTTATTCACCATCTATCAATGAAAATTTTCAAATTCACCATATGCCCTAGAGTTTATCACCAAATGCCCAAATGACTAACAAACATTAACTCTATTAGTCATTAAGGGTAATTATGCCACGTGGCGTATTATAATTGGTTCATTTTTATTTTTATTTAACTAACAAAAAAGTTAAAAAAAATTAAAAAAAAAACCCAAACCCAGCCACCCTCCCCACCGCACCACCACCATCATGCCAACCAACCCCTTGCCCCCCACCCCCACCAGTGACCAACGCGCACTTCGGCGCCGGCGGCCACTCTTCTTACTTGACGGTAATAATATTTTAGCTTTGGGGCCAGCTCATCCACGTCAGATTTGAGGGTGATATTGATAATCCTATGTTTATATAGGATATTAACTTGGACAAGCTCCTAAAATTTTGGGCCAATTCAACCTCAAATAGTTCACGAACTACTCAGACTTACTAATAACAAATCTAATGATAGAACAAAGGGTTTTATTTTATTTTATTTTTTTTATTACTCCGTATTATTTTTAGAAAATAACATAACAAATTTCTCAAAAATTGGATTATAACACCACAAAATCTCAAACTTTTATTATAACACCACAAAAAAAAAAAAAAAAAAAAAATCAAAAAATTGGATTTCATCACCACTTAACGGATTCTTGGATGGAATCCGTTAGTGGAGCCCACTTTAAACACATGTCAATAAGACATTGGTTGATAAAAAAAAAGATAAATAAAAATAAAAAGAAAAATAAAAGTAAAAAAACCTAAACCCTAACCTAGCCCATCCCCACCACCAGCATCTGTTATGGGGCTGGGTTAGGGTTTTAGGTTTTTTTCTTTTTTTTAAATTTTTTTTCCTTTTCTTTTATAAACCAATGCCTTATTGACACGTGTCCAGAGTGGGTCCCACTAACGGATTCCATCCAAGAATCCGTTAAGTGGTGTTGAAATTCAATTTTTGGGTTTTTTTGTGGTGTAATAATAAAAGTTTGAGATTTTGTGGTGTTATAATCCAATTTTTGAGAATTTTGTGGTGTTATTTTCTAAAATTTCCTTATTTTTATTTAGGGGGCAATTCTTAGCAAATTAAATTCCAAAAAAAACCTAACTTTTTATTTCTAATTTCATATTGTAGCGTGGGAGAAACAAATTCATTATTTTTTTTATTTGGAAATAACTTTAAGGAAACATTGGATTTTAACACCAAAATATTCCGAAAATGGTTTTAACCAACCAAAAAAAAAAATTATTTTAACACCAAAAAAAATTTAAATATTTGATTTTACCACCACTTAACTAATTCCGTCCAAGAATTCGTTAAGTAGGGCATAAAGCCACTTGTCGCATTGTTATTGGCCAAAAAAAAGAGCAAAAATATAATTTTTTTTTTAAAAAAAAACCTAAAACTACCCAGGCCCACCAATGACGCCCTCTTCTTCGCCTCAGCCAAGCGCAGACACCACCCGCCGGCCCATCATCAGCGTATCCACTCCCCCAGCCTAAACCCGACCCGCCTGAACCCCCCTTCCCTTTCCCGCAGCCCAAAACCACCTAACCGTAGCCGTCCTTCTCCATAAACGACCACAAATTCGCCCATTAATGTCCGAAATCGGCCGGTT